CTCTCTCCTTGCATGTGGAGTTAGGTATTGAAGAGATAGTCATCCTACGAGCTAACATGTGCTGAGTTCTTACTGTGGTGCCGAGCTCCAGACGAGAACTCGTATTAACTCACTATCAGCACGACAGCCCTGTGAAATAGATGCTACAATATCCACGGCGTAGAGGTTATCCAGCATGAGGAATTAAATAATTTGCCCACAATCACGCCACCAGGAGCCAAGCCAGGCACTCTGCCTCTCTTCTTGTCCCCTGCACAAAGGGAGAAGTGGGCTTCCCCAGCATCCTGAACCTTTGCTGGTCACTGGCGTCAGGCCGCCCGTCCTAGAGAGACCTCCAAGATCAACTGGTCCAGGGTTCCCCCTGGTTGGGGCCAGGGCCAGAGCTGCGACTCAGCCACTAGCCCTCTTTCTTCCTGTCCTTCTGCCCCCAACCCCTGTGCTATTGTGACACAGAAGAGATGGGATGACATTTCCTGGAAAAATCCCATTTGCATCCTGTCCCAAGTCTTCTTTATGTAGACCTAATGAGAGGGTCTGAAGAGGGGGGAAAGACACATATCAATTCAATTACATGCAGGTAATTAACACATATATAGGGTTGCCAGATAAAATACAGGATGCCCAGGTAAATTTGAATTTCAGATAAACATGCTTATACTGAAAATTGTTTGTTGTTTATCTGAAATTCTAATTTACCTGGGCATCCTTTACTTTTATTGACTAAATCTGGCAACCCTGCACATGTCCCAGCTCTGCTTCTTACTGGCTGTGTTACACTGCGCAAATAACTTACCCCCTTTGTGCCTCTGTTTCATCTCTAAAACATGCAGAGTAACTGTATCTACCTTACATGGGGCTGTTGTGAGGATTAAATGATGATTTTTAAAGTACTGGAAGAGTTCTGGAAGGATTGTAAGCCCTATATCAATGTTAGCTATTATTCATATTATTATTATTATTATTCTTGTTTTCTTATTACTACGTCCAAGGTCATATGCTCGGTGGTGGGAAAATGCAAAGAGACACAGAGACTCCTGCTCTGGAACTGTAGGGCACCTGAAGGAGGTCCGCAATCCGTGTAATACGGACCGTGTGAGTGCCGGTGTAAAAGGTACAAGCATGGTGTAAGGGAGCAGGAGCAAGTCGGCTTCCAACTCGGGGGATCAGGCAAGGCACCAGCCAGCAAATACTTATGAAGCGCTCACTATGGGCCACTGGGCCGAGAGCTGGCATAGAAAGAAGAACATGGCAAGGACCAGCCCTCAAGAGCTCAATGCTAGTGGGGCGGCCAACAGCAATGGCCCTGAGGGCCCCATGAGCTCGTGGAGGTGGCACATGGTCTTAGGGCAGTGCAGAGGCTGGACCAGGGAGGGGCGGGGACTGAGACTGAGAGAGGGCTTTCTGGAGGAGGTGATGGTCTTAAAGAATGACCAAGAGTTAACAAGGCAAAGGTAGCCTTTGGGCTGATGGAAGAGAGGATGGGATTCCCACGGGTTAAAACACAGGGTAAGGACATTCCCAGCGGATAGCACTTCACAAGCCAAAGCATGTAGTCCTAAAGAGCAGGCCGTCCTTGCAGAAAGGTGAACAGACCATGCAACTAAGTCCTGGGAGAAGGAACTGGAGAGATAAGGCCGAACTGTAGAGAACCTTAAATGCCCTCCAGGCTGAGGAATTGGTTTTTAACCTGGAGGAGTGGGGAGCCAATGAACGTTGTGAGTAGCAGAGACTGAGCTTGTGGGAGAGTCACCCGGCCATAATGGAGGTAGGGAAATTGGAGTGGATGGAGAGTTGATGCTGTGGCCCAGTTCTGAGATTACTGCAGGAGCCCAGAGCATAGGGCAGTCATATAGGAGCAGTCCAGACAGTAGGCTACTAACTGAGTGTATCAGTTAGCTTTTGCTATGTAATAAACCACCCCAAACATACTGACCCTGTGAGGGATTTGGCTGAGCTAGCTGAGATGGCTCATTTGCCCCACATGGGGTTGGCTGGGCTCACACGTACCTGTGCAGCCCACTAGCAATAATGGCCTCACTCTCATGCACACGGAATGTGGGGAGCCTGGACAGGGGAGAAGCCAAGTCAGGCAGGGCAGCACGGATGACCCCTGGGGGGCATCAGGGTCCCCACCCAGAGCCTGCTGAGGACAGGGCAGCAGAAAAGGAGAGTCCTCTACTCTCCCAAGGAGACAGAGCACCAGGCTTCTGAGCCCGGCACCCTGCTATCGTCCTTCAGGGGAATGAGCCCAGTCTGCGTGGAGAACCAGTAACATACCACATCCATACAACACTGGACCGTTTATACAGTGTTTTCCCACAGTGCAGCTACACGGCACATCTGGTTTTATTATATTCCCTATTTTACAAATGAGGAAACTGAGGCACAGAGAAGCTAACCAACTTGCCCAGGGCCACAAGTTAGTAAATATAGAACCCAGGATTTGAACCCCAGCTGCCTGACCTTCAGGTTAGCCAAGCAAAGGGAATGGGACAATTGGGAAAGAGTGACTTATTCCAGGAATTGCAAGTGATTCTTATCCACAAGAAGAATTTGAGTTAAAAAGTGATGAAAAATGAGGCTGGAGAGGTTGGCAGGAGCCAAGAAGTTCAGACTTTCTATCCAGATGGCAGGGAGGGACCTTTGAAAGATTTTAAACAAAGGAATGCTAGATATTCAGCAGAGAGTGAGTGAATGACTGAGTGGGTGGATGAATGACCAGACTTTTGTAAAGATCACTCGGGGACAGTGTGGAGGATGTGTTAGGTGTCACAATCCAAACAAGAGATGATGAGGGCCCGTGCCGGGAAGACTGTTGGGAATAGAAAGGGAGAGACAAATCTGAGAGCTATTTCAAAGAATTAACCAGGCTGGTGAGCAAGGCGGGATGAAGGAGAGTCAAGTTCAGAAAGACGTGCAGAGTGTGGTCATTTGTGATTGGACAGTGCTGCCATTCCCCAAAATAGCGAATAGGCGTGTTTGGGGTTTATCAGCACAGATGCTGGTTGCGTCCCCGGGAAAGTGAGGGGCTTTTCCAAGGATAATGTGTGGAATGAATGTGCCAGGCAGGAACAAACGCTGGGGAGGACCAACGGTTAACCGTGGGAAGAAGACAGAAAGTAACAGCCAGAGAGGACAGGAGAAACCAGAAGAGGATCCTAGAGGGCAGCTTAGGATCTCTCTATTCCCCACCTGGTCTCATTTTCTTCTTGGTACTTATCAACACCCAACCTTGTATTACGTATTTCCTCCTGTATTGTCTGTCTCTCCCACTAGAATGAAAACTCTACTAGGGTAGGAGCTTTGTATCCCCAGTTCTCAGAACAGGGCCTGGCACACAGCGGGTGCTCCATATAAATTTTCTGAATGAATGCGGAGCCAGCACTGGGAAGCAGGTCCATAAAAACAGGCCCATCCCCCGTCCTGTCTTTACATTCTGCGGTTCTGCATTTTGCCCAGTAGGTGGCGCATCCAGTGAGTGAGGAAACCGGAGGCTGGGATTACAACCGCCCCAAACCCGACAACAGGGCAGTTCACAAAAGTCAGCAATGAACGGATCTAAACGGCAAAAACCATTCTTTCACTCCCTTAGCAGACCTCTCTCAAGCACCAACTGCGAACCAGGCTCATGTTTCCTCGAGTCCTCTGAAGTCAGGCTGGGGAGGGGGGTGCGGAGTCTGAATGCCCCTGGCATAGGGTGAGCCTGTCCCCACATGGGACAAATGATCAGGATGAGGGCAGGAGGGTTGACGGAAAGGGCTGTGAAGGGCTGCTGCAGCTTCAGGGCGGGTCTGTGAGCTGCTCTGACTCTAGCGGAGCATATTCTAGGGTCAAACAATTCTGGGTCCAAATTCCAACTCTCCCACTTACTTGCTGTGTTATCTTAGCTAAGTAATTTGCCCTCTCTGAGCCTCGGTTTCCTAATCTATAAAATGGAGATCCTAATAGTACCTGCCTCGAAGGAAATTGAGAATAAAACAAGAGGCCCTTGGCACAGCACCTTGCATGTAGCAAGAATATTATTCTTAAATAATTTTTAAAAGTTAAGTATTATTCTTAAATATTGGACATAACCAATATTTGTATAGCCTTTACAAAGTTGTCTTGGCATTTGTCATATCGTTAAGGTAATCCTCATAATAACCCTGCAGATATGTTTATTACCCACTTCCCAGATAAGAGGGCGCAAGTTGTCACATTATGTAACTTGCCCACAATCGTACAGCTTGTAAAGTCATGGACTCAAGCCAAGTGTGGCTCAGCAAACATACCTGGGATATCCACTGTGTGGCAGGTACTATGCCAGGTGACAGGGATCAAGGGTGGATGAGGTTGTAGTCTAGGGGAGAGACAACATGTGCAGGTCATTTCCGTAGGACAGGTTAGCTGTTGAGACAGAAGGATGTTGGGCTGCTGTGGGGTCAAAAACAAAAGTCATTTGGCTCAACTGGGAGATTCCAGAAGGACCTCGTGGACTGGTAACCCCTTAGCTGCGTCTTGAAGGCTAGGTAAGAGTGAGCCAGGAGAAGAAGGGGAAAGAGAACTCCACATTCCAAGTTAAAGACATGCCATATGCAAAGGAACCTGTTAGGCAACAAGAGCGCTAACTTCAACCCCGTTATGCGGTGAGCAGTATGCGCCCTTCTCTAACCTGCCCCAGGAAGTCGCAGAGGGAGCCAACGAAGGGATGAAGGGCCCCCCGTGTGCTCGCGTTGTCCAGTGAGCCTTCCCTTGGAAGCACTCATCAGTTTGTGATTGTTCCTAGGGGCGCTCTAGAGCAGTGCTCCTCAAACATCGATGTACATACAAATTTTCTGGGGTCTTTCTTCAGCGCCACTTCTGGCTCAGGCAGTCCTGAGGCGGGGCACAAGCGGCTGCGTTTCTAACAAGCTCCCAGGTGATGGGGGCGCTGCAGGTCCATCCCGGGCACATGCTCTGAGTACCAAAGGTCTCCCACCGGCTCCAAGAGGGCAGGCTGTGTCTGGTTTTAGTGAACGACGATGCGCTCAGACTGGGGCATGGAAGAGGCTGAGGGAGAGAAATGGAAGGAGAAAGGTTGGAGGGAAGACAGGAATGCTGGCTGCGCAGGACTGCGGCTGGGGCCGCTGGAGGAAGGAAGACTTTGAAGGTGTGAGACGTGCTGATCAGGACAAGCCCAGAGGCCCCTGGGTGTCCGCCCTCCAGTCCAGGCAGCTCTCACACTCCCAGCGTGAACTCAGCCCTCTCCCCACCCCTGCCTGAGTCCCTGGGTCCTGAGGCTGAACACTGATGCCTGAACGGCAGCAAGCCTCCACCCACTCCTGCAGCCCCGTGTCTTTAACCTGCCACCACGCTTAGCCTCAGCCTTCTCCCCAGCCTGTGATCCAGACAAATTGGACTGGGGTCCCTCCTCCACCAAGAAAGCAGCTGAGAACCACCCCACCCCCACCACCAAGCCCTCCCAGCCCAGGCATCCCCTTTCCAGAAATGGCAGGAAGGAGCCCGTCGACCAATGTCACACCATAGAGAGTTTCTACACAGCTGTCCCAGCAAGGGCAAGGAGGCTCCTCCTCTTTGCCCACCCCCCCAAACACTCACTCATCCGCCGCCCCCAACTCTACCCACCCCTCCCACACACACACACGCAGTATAAAAAGTCACACAGTATAAAAAGTGCTGACCACGGCAGCAAATGCCCATGACAGATCCCTCACCCAGGGGTCTTTCATTTATTCATTCAACAAACATTGACTGAGCACCTGCCGTGTGCAGGCACTGATCTAGACACGGTAATATTGCAGGGACCACAACAGACAGGTCTTTCTTGTTGTCAGGGAGCCTCTTTCTAGAAAGGAGAGACAGACAACAAATGAACCCAGTGATGGAGAAAACAAAGTGAGGTGCTGTCATAGAGAGGAACTGAGGGGCTGTTATATAGGGTGGCCAGGCCTCGCTGAGGACGTGACATTTAAGCTGTGCCTCATTAACGGGAAGAAGCCAGCAGGACAGGGATACAGAAAAGAGCATTCCAGACAGAAAGAAGGGCGAGGTTCAGGGCCAGTGCCAGGAATGAGCTTGGCTTGTTGGGCCAACAGAAAGGATGAAAGTGTGCCACAGGCGGGGAGGAGTGGGGGCGGAACTCAGGGCCCAGAGGCAGCTCGGGCCTGAGGTGCAGGCGCTTGTAGGCAACGGAGGGGAGTTCAAACCATGGTTCAAACCATGTTCTAGACAGAGCATGGAGCCCCTGGAGAGTCTGAAGCAGAGCAGTGACATCATTGGATTCATTTTTATTTATTTTTGTGTGTGTGTGAGGAGATCAGCCCTGTGCTAACATCTGCCAATCCTCCTCTTTTTTTTGCTGAGGAAGACTGGCCCTGGGCTAACATCCACGCCCATCTTCCTCCACTTTATATGGGACGCCGCCACAGCATGGCTTGCCAAGCAGTGCGTCAGTGCGCGCCCGGAATCCAAACCGGCGAACCCCGGGCCGCCACAGCCGAGCGTGCGCACTTAACCGCTTGCGCCACCGGGCCGGCCCCTGGATTCATTTTTAAACAGACCACTCGCCAGCTTTGTGGAGAATGCACTGTGCATGAGTTGAACCCAGTCCTGCCCTCCAAAGGGCTTAGTATCTTCGAGGTGCTTCATCATGCTGCTGGGAGCAGGAGGATGGCCCAGCTGACCTCCGCACCTCTCCAGCTGCCCCTGGGCACTGTAACCTTCCGTGTCGGTGCTGCTGACCTGTGTCGGCAGACGTGCCCCTATCAGCCATCCGTGGAGAGCACCCATCTGGGCTGACGGAGCATCTGAGGAATCCTGGAAGCCCAGCCAGGGACCCACTTGGGTGACCAGGCGGACACTGGAGGAGGCCCCCACAGTGTAGCCCACAGCCTGGCACCAAAAGCATTTTCCCAGCCTGTTCAGGCGAGGTTGGCCAACCCCGCACATCAAGACCAGTGAATCAAATGAGCTTGATGCCATGTAGTCGCTGGGCACAGAGGCAGCCAGTGAGTTGACCAGCAGCTCTGGAGTGGGCAGGAAACCCTATGACCCCAGCTCCACTTTGCCCTCTGTCCAGCCGATGTCCTGTGGGAAGGACAGACAGTCACCCCTAGCATATGCTCTAGTCCAGAAGTCCAGGGCCTTCTGATCATGGGAGTGCTTCTTAGAGACAGCTACAGGGCTGGGTAGTGGTTCCATACAACGTTTAGCTGCAGAATCGCTGGTTTCCATAAAACGGTATAAAGAAGCCTAGTACCTAAAACAGGTGAAAGCTTTACCTCCCTGGTGGAGCAGGATGCGCTTCCCAAGCCCGCTCCCATCCTTCACCCTCACTCACTGGTAGCTTTGGGCAGCGCTTGTGCTCTCTGGCCTCAGTTTACTTCTCTGTCAGTGCAGGACTGGACTGTGCCTCCCTGCCCCACCTCTCCACACGAGCCCGTGGCCTTGGCCGCAGAGCTCGGAGGAAGTCCTCAGGGGCTCCCTCCCACACAGGGGGAGAGCGGGTGCCCCACATCACCCACCCATGTGTGTGACAGTCTGCAGGGCTAGTGGCGGGGAGGGGCAGAGCAAGGAGGGAGCCCGCCACTGCCTGCCCGAATCCTGGATGACACGAGAGTGGACCGCACACGGCCACCACCCCTGCAACTGTGGATAATTCACATGATCTGTCCCTTCATGAGCGGTGCCCGAGGAGCAGCCGTCCTAGTTCTCACTCACGCCAGCCCATCTGAGGCCAGCTATGTCCTCCTGGGGCTGGCGTCCAGCTCTGGGGACCAGCTCTGCCTGGGAGCCTCTCAGGTCTCCCCAGGCCTCAGTCACCGAACAGTTAATGCATTTTTCCTGACTGACAACAAGCACAACAGCAAAACAGTCAACTATTTTTATCTCCGGATTAATCACAAAGGCTCGCGCTTCCACCTTCCCTGTGATTAAGAATTAGGAGACCAAGCTCTATGGTGGTTCAGGATAATAACAATCCTGTGAGGGGGGTGGATGAATAATGCATCTCCAGGCTCAGGCCACTCCAGACTTTCTCCCCTCCCGGCCGCCCCAGCCTGGGCCTGGGCTGAATGTGGAGGTAATGAGTCGCCCCCCTTCTATGGGAGCTACAGCTGCCAAGAGCGACTGTTGATTTCTATTCAGCCCACTGGCCCCCAAACATCCTCCTCCCTCATCCACCCCCGCCACGCACACCCCGGCCCACCCGCACCCTCCTACCCCATCTGGTGTGCACCGAGGCGGAGGCCAATCAATAATGCATAGCTACGCGAATAACCGGCACGATAACCACTTATTTGGGAAGATGTAATCAGGACCCATTCTGCGGGTGGCTGTCTGTGTGTGTGAATGTGTGTGCACCTGGGTACGCACGCAGCACAGTCGCACACCCCCTCCCCTCATCTGCACTCCCTCTAATCCAATATTCTAAAACACAGCACTAGAGAAGCAAGGAGGAAGGGCTCGGCCCCCACCGTGTGCAGTGTTTGGAAAGGCCTCCTCCGTCTCCACTGTGATCACAGCACATCGCCGCAAAGGCCCAGAGACTATTGGTTCTTAAACTTGGTCACACACTGGAACCTTCTGGAGAGCTTTAAAGACTCCAGATCTCAGGGACCACCTCCAGAGGCTTGAGTTGGTCAGGGTGTGACCAGGCAGCAGGATTTTTAGAACCTCTCCCAGAAGGTGGTAACATGCAGCCCAGGTCGAGAACCACTGTCTCAGACCCAACAAATGCCAGTGCCGGAGGAACTTTCCAGATCCCCTGTTGTAATTTCACATTTTATATCTGAGGAAATAAAACTGGGAGAAAGGACTGCCTTCAGGCTTCACCCTCTGACTGAGCCTTCTCCACAATACTGCACCCCTGGCTCATCGCTGGGGAGGCACGGAGACAAGGATTTGTTGTTGTCAGTGCCATCGAGTGGATTCCGACTCCTGGTGCCCCTGTGGACAGCAGAGCATAACCCTGCCCGATCTTCTCACTCCATCCTCTCACCTTCCAGTGCTATATCAGATGATGCTCTGCTGTTCACAGGGCTTTCATGGCCAATTTTTTCAGAAGTGGGTGGATAGACTCTTCTTCCTAACAAGACAAGGGTGGCCAGGTATTTATTCTATTCCTGGAGCTTCGAATGGTTCTTTCCAATTCTCCTGGCCCCCAGCAACCTCAGCCAGACCACCTCCATCCTGGGCACCTCGTGGAGAAAATGCCGCAGAAGGAAGTGGGCGGGAGCCCCCACTTCAGCCCTCTCTGCTGGAGGGGCCTGGCCCACTGCAAGCAGATAAAATTCCCCTCAGCAGCAGCTGTCACCCCCACCCGCCATGTATGGAAAGCCCTCATTAGCCTCCCTTTTGCTCTCTGGCCACACCCGCACCAAGGAGGTCTCTGGCACTAATGAGGGGGCATAGGGTGGGGGAGTTGTCTTTATTGGCCAGTCCACACCCACCATCTGCCTGTGCCCAGGCCCCCTGGGGAGGCAGGGCAGGGTTGAATGAGGCCAACTTCCTCCCCGGGCCAGGAGAGAGTGGAGTGCTGGAGCTGGATAGCGTCTTGGAAGCCTGAGGGTTTGTTTTTCCTCAGGAAATAGACTCTTGGAGGTTGGCACTCACTCGTTGTAGCTCTGAACCAGGCCTCCTCGAGGCAGGGAAGGGAGGGGGCAGAGCCGCTAGCTGAAGGTACTTACCTGGCCCCAGAGTCTCCTGGAGTTTCCTGAGCCTCCTGAACCTCCTGGAATTCCCTGAGGGGCCTGGGTGCACAGGAGAGTGGCACACGGCGGGAGGCCCTGGGAAGTGGAGGGGAGCCTGGCTGTGGGAGTGAGTCCTGGGGAGAGGGCATGCTAGAAGCGGAGCCTCCTGGGGCAGGACTGACCTGGAGCTCTCGAGCTACTGCGTCTGTCTTCCCCGAGCCCACGAATGCAGAAGCTTGCACAAGGCCTGGGTGGAAGGATGGACTTTCTCTGGCAACTGGGCAAAGAAGGACCTTTGTGCCAGGACCCCAACTTGTCACCTGATTACCCCTTCATCCATTCACAGAGCAAACATGCACCTCAGACCTCCAGAACTGACTGACCCAGCCCCTCCCTGGGGGAGGAAGACCAGGGATTCTTCAGGTGGTCTCCAGGGAGCCCTGGCCCCTCTGTGGTTTATCCAAGGAGGAGAGGCAGGGAGCAGCAGAGGCCTGAGACCCTAGATGTGTCCACAATCACAAACGTCAGAAGAGGCTATGTGACCTTAGGCCTGCCACTTAACTTCTCTGGGCCTCTTCTCCACACAGTGGTCATCTGCCACTAGAATTGCCCATCCTACATCCCATGGTCATCGTGGGGATCAAAGGGGTGCCTCTATTGGGGTTAGCAAACGTTTATGGAGCTTCCACCAGGCACCAGGCTGGGCACTGTGGGAGTCAAGCTCCACGCCGTGGCCGTCCCTCTCCTCCCCCTCCCCCATCTCTCAGCGGGAACCACGATCTCAGGCCTGCTACTACAAAGTGTAGTGGAGGTGGAAGGACCCAGACAGGAGGCACGCATTCTGACTCTGGGATGAGGGGCTGGCGGTGCCCTGGAAGAATAAAGTGCTAAGGAGACGCCGGGTTGCACAGCCCTCTGAAACCTTGTCTCAGCCTTGAAAGGTTGCCCATCACTTGTCCCCTTGGAGGGAAGGGGCCAGCCTGAGCTCCACGTGTCAGGGGACCTGGCTTCCAGCCCTGGCTCTGCCTCTCAATCGCTACGTGACCTTGAGCAAGACACTTAATCCTGCTGAGCCTCGGTTTCCAGGTCTGTGTAATTGGGATAATAATACTGTTTACCTCACGAGATTGTTGTGAGGATTAAATCAGACAACAAATATGACCAGGCTTTGTTTTAAAAAAAAAAAAAAAAGTTAAAAAGAAAGAAATACCGATATTATCTCGGCAGCAAGCTTTGCTTCCCGATCTGTGAAGCGAGGCTACTGATGCCTGCCCTGTCCCCTCACAGGCTCGTCGAGAGCGGCGGATGAGAGGATGACACGAACATCCTCTGCAAATAGACATGCAATGCATATGTCAGGGATTATTGCTGTTGTTGCTATTATTGTTATTGTACAAGGGGATTACACATTTTATTAAAGTGTGATAATTATTGTTTGCCATCGGCTCCATAAAATCCACCCAGCCCAGGGTGCCAGCCCTGCTGGAGAGGAGGGTGCCCTCAGCCTGACCTCTCCACCCCTCTCCCTGCAGTGCCACCTGACGATCCCGTCATCCTGGGGGGGCCAGTGATCAGCCTGCGGGCGGGAGACCCCCTCAACCTCACCTGCCATGCAGACAACGCCAAGCCTGCAGCCTCCATCATCTGGCTACGGAAGGGAGAGGTCATCAACGGGGCCACCTACTCCAAGGTAAGGCCTGGGGGCGGGGGTCATGGGGAGGGGGCCAGCTCTCCGGTCTCTCTAGTGTATGTCTCTCTGTCGCTTTTCATTTCTCACTCTGTCTCTCTGTCTCTCTCTGTCTCTCTCTTTCTCTCTCTCACTCTGTGTCACTTTCTGTCTCATGCTACGGCTCTATTTATCTGATCTTTTCTCTCCGACTGTAACTGTCTCTCTTCTTCTCTCTCTCTTTCCTGCGGTAATTGCTGGGCGTGGTGAGGACTCTAAGAACAGAGGAGAAGACACAGGGGCAGAAGAGGCCTAGGGTTGCCAGATAAAATACAGGATGCCCAGTTAAATTTGAATTTCAGATTAACAACAAATAACATTTTAGTAGAAATATGCCCAAATATTGCATGGGGCATACCTATGGGTCAAACTTATACTAAAATATTACTCATTGTTTATCTGAAATTCAAATTTAACTAAGTGTCCTGCATTTTTATTTGCTAAATCTAGCCACCTTTCCAGGGCTGCCAGATAAGGCCATTTAGGTTCTTCCTTGCCCGGGGTGCCAGGCTCAGGGGACAGGGAGGGCGGAAATCCAGCCCATAATCCCTTACCAAGGCCTGCGCCCCACTGTACCTACCCACAGGGGCGCTTTTCTCTAATTCACACTATGTACCCTGAGCTGGAAGTGCCCTGAACGGGCCCCTGCCTTAGTCATGTTTCTTATTTTCTGTATTTTACTATGTTTCGACATCTCAAGGCCTTGAAGACAAGGAGGGACTGCCCCTCCTAGGGTTAGCTAGAGACAGCAAACACCATGCTGAGAACACACTTTGGATATGCAAACCAAACAATCCTAGGTCCTGACCCTCCCACCTCCTTTCATCCTGCAGTCCCAGACATATCCTCCTGCCCTAAATCACTCTGGGGACAGGTACTGGATAACGAGAGACCTCCCCTATAGCCTAGATCCTGCCCAAATTATTCAGACTATCCAATCTAAGCGCATTCAGCTGCTTACCCTGCCTTCATTCATTCTTTCCCACAAAAAACACAATAAAGGCTAGCACTCATGCTTTCCCTCGCTCCCTCTGCCTCCTGACAGACCCTGGTGCATCCTCGTGTGGCCCTTCCTCTTTGGAACTGTAGCAAACCACCTTTTCAATGGCAGTCATCACCTGATCTGTTGGCCTCACTATACCTGAATAAAAACAAAATCCCAGGTAGATTTTAAAACAGCCCCACTGAACTCCACTCAAGGAGACTGTGAATAGAGTCCCAGACAGGGTGTATGTACCACAGAGCCTTTAAAGATGTATGGGACCTTGGAGGATGGCCAGTCCAACTCTTTTGATCTACAGATGGAAAACCAAGGCCTGATAAGGGAAGTGACAGCCCTTCTCAGCTGATGAGTGGGCAGGAACTGTGGTATCATGATGCCCAGGGCCCTGCTCCTCCCTATGCTCCCCTCAGGACAGCCTCAGACAGATGGGCAGCTGCTCAGAGGTTATATCAGGACCCAGGGCAAGCCAGCATCCCCGGGCTCCGGTGCTGGAGGCCCAGACCTCCAGAACCCCGGTTCTCCTCTCCTGGGGGCCCTCCTTGGCCTTAGAGAGTGGGGAGGTGTACGGCCTGCTCCCCACACCCACCCCACCACTGGCTCTTCTTCCTGGGTCCTGGAAAAACAAGCAAGTCTTTCACCACCACTGGAGGATATGAGGCAGGACTGTCCCTTCCCTGAGGGTGTGTCCTTCCTGTCTAAAGCTGACCGCCTGCCAAGGAGTCAGCCCCAGGGCTGCTGATCAAGGCCTGGGCCCTGGCCCCCACCCAGAGCCTGGTGTCAGAACCCAGGACAAATACCTTCCCCTGGGGGCAAGTCTATCCAGGGAGAAGCTGCCAATTGAAAGATAAATCCCTCACTCATGTCCTGGGCTGGAGCCACCCTGTTGTGTTATGAAATACAAAAATATGACACAGTAAATGTGTCATCCCCACAAGGATGAAAGAAGGAAAAGGGTGTTTCTTCCAGGCTGAGCATCTGTCCAGTCCCTCCCTGAAGCAGGGCCAGCCTGGCCCCTGCCAAGGCTTATTTCCCACAGAGGACACGCCCCCCTCAGGTGAAGAGAAAGATCAGTCACCCTGCTGGACATGTCCAGGGGCCACCTTTCCCCCAGCATGTTGTCCTCGTCCACGTGCGGAAGGCCCCTCAGAGAGCCTGGCACACGGCTGCTACAGCCCAGAGCAGGGCGGCCACGCTCCACCCTCTCCCCCAGACCTGTTCCACTCCCTGCCGCCTGTGAGGGAATGCAGCACCGGGCAGCGAGGGGCCTGCCTCCCAGTCCCCGCTCTGTGTAACCTCAGGAAAGTCGTTCCCTGGACTCAGTTTCCTCGTCTATAAAACAAAGGGGTTGGATTAGACAGTCTGTCTTAGTCTGCTCGAGCTGCCATCACAAAATACTACCCACCGGTGGCTTAAACAGCAGACGTTTCTCAGTCCTGGAGGCCAGAAGTCCAAGATCAAGGTGCTAGAAGGCTTGGTTTCTGGTGTCACCTCTCTTCCTGGCTTGCAGACCGGCAACCTTCTCCCTGTGTCCTCTGTGTGTGCGGAGAGAGAGACTGTGATCTCTAGTGCCTCTTCCTCTTCTTATAAGGACACCAGTCCTGTTGGATTAGCGCCGCACCCTCACAACCTCATTTAACCTTAATTACCTCCTGAAAGGCCCCTCTTCCAAATACAGTCACATCGGGGGTCAGGGCTTCACCAAATGAATTCTGGGGGACAGAATTCAGTCCATGAGAGGTGCAGACCAGCTCTGACAAGCCATAAACCTATCACTTGGAGCACTCGGAGGAGGGTGGATGATCCAGCAGTGCTCCCATGAGCCCCCTCCCCCCCCAGGACTGTGAGGACCATTAACCGAGGCACTTCTCCCCGAAGGCAGAGCAGCCCCAGACAGGCTTTGCATGCGGAGGGACCGGGAGACAAGAGCAGCTGACAGACAGAGACAGAGACAGAGACGGAGACAGAGACAGAGAGAGGAAGGGAGCGTACACAAGTGCACACACAGTCCAGTGGGGTCCAAGGTCCACAGAAAAGACCCCGCAGGGCAGCCCTGACAGCCCTCGGGTCTGAAGTCCTCAGCCCTTGTCACATGGCGGGTAGTTAAGCACATGGGCCTGGGAGCTGAGTGGCTTCAGTTTGAATCCAGGCTCTGCCCCCTTCTAGCTCTGTGACTGCAGGCAAGCTCCCTAACCTTGCTGTGCCTCAGTGTCACCATCTATACAATGGGAGCCACAGCAGCACCTGCCTCAAACAATCAACGAGAGGAGGGCCTGGCAGAGAGAGCTCGCAATAAGCATGGCTCTTAGGCTCACTGCCTGTCCCTCACTTAATCCTCACAGGCCCCAGGGTCTACCTTGCCATCCACATGACCTAGATGAGAATGTCAGTGTCACAGTGGAGCAGGCCCTGTGGTCCTAGAGACCTGGGCTCAAACCTGAGCTCCATCACATATTATGGTGACTTAATCTCTCTGCCTCAGTTTCCCCAGCTTCAAAACAAGATGATAATAACCATGGACACCTGTTAGGATTGCTCTGAGACTTAAAAGGAATTATGCATTGAGACCACTGTGTAATGGGGTGCAGTCACGGCCTCACAAATGTTAGCTGGTATTATAGGGTCCCTCCTCCCAGAGCCCTGCCTCTCCCACCCCAGGTCTCCCTCCCCAGAGGTCACACAGCAGCCCTGGCTTTGTAGAACATTCTTTCTGCTGTTCCACTGTGTGGCCAGCAGGGGCAGGATGAGCTGGTGGGACAGAGGACAGCCTAGGCCCCTTCCCCGGGGAGAACCAGGAAGCGCAAAGACCTCTGGCCTGTCACCCAGCACAGGCTGGTAGTGCCTCTTCTTAAACACCCTTTCACCAGAGCCCTCATGGCCAACGTGCTTGGTGAGCGCCTGGGGCTCCCAGCCGGTGTCTGGCTTCAGAAGCCTGGGAGCCAGTGGCAAGGCCTCTCTCCAAGTCCTCTCTTCCTGGACATCCAGCCTCGGACCGTCTTCTCAGGGCCTGGCACCAGAATGGAGGCCACAGGGGATTCGTTTGGAAAGCCAGCAAATATACAAACCAGGGCAGGCAGGACAGGTTGTGGAAGAGGAGGGAAGACAGTGTGGGCTAAGCCCAAAGAGAAATCTTCCCTGTGAGCCAGCTCCCTGCTCCCACTGCTACTTCCCCAGCAGCTATCAGGTAGAGGATGAGGCCTTGACCCTGGTGCAGGGCACAGACAGGAGGGTTGCTTGGTCTTAGGATGCACAGTCATGTACATATCTACCTTGAAGCCCCCGACCCTCCAGCCTTACTTCGCTGCTTCCTCCATCTTCAAGCTGCTGCCTGCCCAAGGGGCTGCCCACCCGCCCACCCACCACCAGGACCATGGGCCTCATTAGGGCTCCTGCTAAGAGGAGCTCTGAACAACACCCCTCGGGGCCCTCACTAGGGCCCAGCCCCCTCCATGGGCCCCCTCCACTGTGTACTCTCTCCCCACCAGTCACCCCAGCACCTCCCCATCCCATCTGTCTATCTTAGGGGCCTAAAGTCTCTATTCAGTGTGGCAGCCACCACTCATCCTGGCGTTCATTGTGAAAGGCATCCCCTCTAGTCCCAGGGCACAAGACTGGTGGTCCCTGAGGACGCAGGGTCTGGGGCAAAGGGCACTGTGCAGTTCTCCCCCTTCCCTTATATCCCTTATGCAATCCATGTGACGACAGGCACTGATGGATTCCCCAGGCAGCTACAAAAAGGGGAAGCAGAGAGACGATTAAAAAAAAGGACACAGCAGGTGGGGGAGGGGAGTGAGGAGGGGAAAAGAGAGAGGAGGCCTTGTTGCCAGGCAATCAGTCCTCACTGAAGGCCTTTCCAAACTGTTTGCATATCAATAAGCATCCCTTATTTAGCACCAAGGTTGGGGCACCCACCCACTGCATTCTCTCCAAACCTCCATCCTCCCTCCCCTGTGGTCCCTGGAGCAGGCATCACCAGGCCTCCTATCTCTTGGGGCTCAGCCTGGCTCTCCACTGCCCAATTGAGGCCCTGGGGACTTTGGAAAGAGCAGAGCGGCCACTGCTGCCCACGCTGGACAACTGAACACAGAATGTGTTCTGTCCTTAGCCAGCCCAGGCCACGGCCGATTGAATACCAAGTATGTGCCATCATGGGGCAGGTGGGGTGGGAACGGGGGGGTGCAATGCTGGGCACACAGACGGGAAGCAGCACTGGGACAGGCAGGGTTTAGAGAAGAGCCTCAGGCCTCACACATCCCCTGGGACGGTCAGGAAAGCTCCCTGGAAGCAGTCAGTGGACAGAGGCCCAGAGACATGCACACAGGCAGAGGAATGGCAGTCCACTCACAAAGGCTTCTCCTCAGGCACACTCACTCCTGTGCACGTGTGGCATATATGCCCTGCCCCTGCTCATACCTGTACACACAGATGGGCTGGGTCCTAGGGGACCTGTAGGAGCTGCCATCAGGGTCACATGGGCTGCCTGAGCAACTCAGAGGCTGGGATCTGGCAGCAGACTAGTGCCCACCAGGCTAGAGGAAGGGGTGCCCCAGGCCTGGAAGATGGTGGCCCCAGAAATGAGTGACTCACCATTAATAATCCACTTACCTCCCTGAGCTGATTTGCATGCTAATGAAGTTTTCTGAAGCAGGAAATCGGGGGCTGGGGCCCACAGTGTGTCCCCAGGGCCAAGTTGAGTGAGGGGAAGACAGAGAGAAGGAGCTGGGAAGGGAAGGGAAATGGGGCTGTGACAAGAATTAGCAAATGATGGTTTGACCTGGCTGGTACCCTCAAGGCCACAAAGTCCAAAGTCTTCATTTGCATATGAGAAAAGGGGAGATTTATAAGAGAGGAATGAAGGATAAGAAAAGACAAAGAAGAAAGAAGTTAGAGGATAAGGAAGGAATGAGGAAAGGAGAAAAACTAGGTGAGAGACACTGAAGCCAAGCGCTGGCCAAGGCCCAGCTCTTCCTGCTGCGGGCTCCACCTCCCTCCCCAGGAACATCCCAGGCCTACCTGCAGACCCGGCTGCGGGCCAGGGGAGGTGCTCAGGGCCCCATGGGGAGCCGGGCCCAGGCGCTCGCCTTCCCCGTGCTCTCCCCATTGGTTAATGAACACAGCTCCCTTTTCTCTAATTAGGTGGAACAAACAACTTGAACCAGAATTTTTATTTCCCAGAGAAGCACCCGCCTGGACACAGTAAATACATCATTAATCACCATTCGGAGGCGGAGAGCGCCCTAGGTGCGGGGGGAGGGGGAGGGAAGCAGCCAGAGGGCCTCATTAGGAGCTCGGGCCTCCGCACCCCTCCCGCCAGCACCCAGACGGCCTGCACCCTCCACCACCCAGAGCTGATCAGTTGGGGGTTCCTGGCAGAGTCAAACGTATGTAAAGGTCCCTTGTTAGCTCCACAGGAAAGTCAAGAAACGGAGATGGGGAAGAACAATACCGACCTCCCCCCTCCTTCCACCCTACCTCGAGGTCTTATTTTCATCCAGGAAATTGTTCTTATCATCGCTTGGCTATTTATAGACGTATGAGTTCTGCTGAAGAGCCCGGAGCCAACGCCTGTTACTGTGGTGCGTCCTCAGCTCCTGCTCCGGCTGGGCTTGGGGCTCACACACTACCCCCACCACCACCACTGGTTTAGCGCCCTGGCCCCGAAGCCGATCTGAAGCCCCTCACACCACTGGTGCTGGAACTGACCACATCACCCTCCCTCAGCCTCTCTCCGAGGACCCCTCTGCCCAGAGCTGAGGCCACCACCCGAAGTCCCAGGAAAGAACGTGCTATGAGGCCTCAAGCCACGGGAGGCTGCCCAGACCCTGGCAGTTACAGAACATACAGGAGAAGCCGTCGCGGACTCTGCCTGCTCTGTGGATCCCTCTGGCATCTCCGAGTCTGGCTTTGGCTCAGGTCCTGTTCTCCCAGTGCTGGAGGCCACCAGCTTTGTCCCACGTTGAGAAGGATGGCACTGAACTGTGGACCCAGAGAGCAGGTTCCAGCAGCTCCACGTCGCTGCTCCCAGTGACCTGGGAGGCTACATAAGCGCTCCAGCTGTTCCCACCTTTAAGCAGAGACACCTTCCAGCTCTCAGGGAACTGTGCTGGGAGGGTGGTGGGCTCAGGGGTCACCACTCTCAAGTGCAAACCCCGGCCCTGCCCAGCGAGTTCCTGACTCACTCTGAACTCAGTCTTCTCTTCTGCTAAATAGAGATAATACACCCCTCCTTCCAGGGTCTGGTGAGAATTAGAGACCATGCTGTTGTTATTTTAAGGGAGGTTTTGAGGAAGTAGAGTCTATTCATCTATTCCCTGGCTCCAATCACGGCAAAATAATTTGCACCCTGCACCCCTTCCCTGGATGGGGTTAAGTCCCTCCCTGGGGTGTAATGAACAAGTCCAATCACGACCCGGACATGGCCCTCCTACCCAACACAGCTCCCCAGCACCTACCTACCTTAGTGGGTCGTTGGTGAGCTTGGGGTGCAGGGCACCAAACTAGTGCGGAGGTGGACGGAAAGGGGTGCAGTGGAGGGAAGGGGGGAGCAGTGATGGAGAATAGCCACCATCAGGAGTGACCTCGTGGTCCCGTGGAAACAAAGGAATGGAATACGGGAGACCAAAGGCTTTAGGACTTGGCATTAGTTTCCTAGGTCTGCCGTAACAAAGTACCACAACTAGTACTAAAACAACTGAAATTTATTGTCTCACAGTTCTGAAGGCCGAAAGTCTGAAATCAAGGTGTCGGCAGTGCCACGCTCCCTCCAAAGGCTCCGGGAAGAACCCTTCCTCACTTCTTCCAGCTCCTGGTGGCTCCTGACTTTCCTCGGCTTGCGGCAGCATCACGCCAGTCTCTGCCTCGACCCTCATGTGGCCTTCTTCCTGTGTCTCTCTGGTCTTCTCCTCTTCTTATAAGGACACCAGTGTCATTGGATTGAGGGCCCACTCTAAATCCAGGATGATCTTGTCTCGAGATCCTTAAATAATAACTAATTGCTTAACTATCTGTGAAGACCATATTTCCAAATAAGGTCACATTCTGAGGTTCTGATTGGATGTGGATTTGGGGGGACACTATTCAGCCCACTACAGGACCTTCTTACTTACTTCACCCCCAACTTGAAGTAGGACTTTGGTCAAGCTCCACGGCCTTTCTTGATCACACCTGTCTTCTCATCTGTCAAATGGAAGATAATGGCATCTGTCCTGCCTGTGGCTTGTCCTGACAAGCCCAGGAATGAGGTCAGGAAGTGAAATGATTTGAAAAGTTGAAAAGGTTTATATAAAGTAACAAAATGGTCAGTGTGCATTGATTCTGCCCACATCCCCACCCCTGCCCTGCTTTACCCCCATGCCCCAAACCACACCGCCTTCTACAGATGTCGTCACTGCCTCAGGGGCCACAGCACAGCCCGTTGCACCCATCTCAGTGCTTCCTGCAGACCCAGAGACTCCCCCAGACCAGAGACAGATAGATGCTCATTCATTTCTACATAGGACCTGCAGCCTGGTTTCTGTTGGGCGCAGCCAGGTTTCTTTTATGCTTTGGGGTATGCAAGCCCAGGCTGATTTTCACACACAATGGAAAACTTTCTAGGTCCTTTGTCTTTCCCCAGCCCAGCATTCAGCCAGGCCAAGGAGCAAGGGTAACCCCCCAGCTCTGTGCAGAGACTGGCACCCCTGGGTGTCCTGAGCCGACCTACCTCCATCTGCAGGGCTCCCTCCTGCTCTCTGAGGCTGGGGCCTGTCCTCCCCTACCTGCCCAGGCCATCCCAGCCAAGTGACATGGGGTCTTCTCTCCCTGTCCCCCCAGACCCTGCTTCGTGATGGCAAGCGTGAGAGCATCGTGAGTACCCTCTTCATCTCCCCCGGGGACGTGGAGAATGGGCAGAGTATCGTGTGCCGAGCCACCAACAAAGCCATCCCCGGAGGGAAGGAGACCTCAGTCACCATCGACATCCAGCGTGAGTACTGACCCAGCCTGGCCCAGGGGCGGGGAGCCACCTGGCCCAGGGGCGGGGAGCCACCCGGTCCCCTGCCCGGAGCACAGCTTGGGGGAAGGGGCCAGGACTGGACAACCAGCTCACCAGAGCCACACCCTAGCTTCTTCCTGTGGGACAGGAAACGGGCAGACAGCTCTGCGGACAGGCCGAGTTTGTGTTTATGGACCAGCTTGTCCTTCTCATTGTCATGAAAAGTAAAAACATCACAGATGAGGGTCCTTTGCAAACGACATGTTCAAATCATATTTCCATACCTGTGTGAGGTGGAACTTCCACATCAGAAAATGTCGTGGTCTGCTCGGGGCCCTGCTGGCCTAGCCAGGTGACCCCACACCTCCCTTGGAGAGGAAGCCAGAGCAGAGATGCTGGGAGCTGAATGGCGTCTGTGGCTCCGGAGTTGGGGAGCAGCACCATGCCTGATCATGGGTGTAAAGGGGCCCCTCTCATGGCAGGTCGGTCAAGGAGAGAAGAAGAGGAAGAGTAGCTATTCAGTCAGCCCATGCTTTGCAGGTGTTAGCTCATTTCATCTGCACAAGAACTGTTTGGAGTAGGTATGACTGTGGTCCCTATCTGGGGAAACAGAGGCACTCGAAGGTCGATTAGCTTGCCCAAGGCCATGTAAGTTTCGAATGTAGGCAGCCCCGCTTCCCACACTGGTCACCCCTCTTCTGCACCTCCACATGGTAAGCCTCAGTGAGCGTCAGTTGCTATGATTAATATTAACAATGATGAGGCTTTAAAGCTCTGTCAGCATCGCATTCTAAAAGTCACCTAAAGAGACTCCTACAGGTCTCCTAGAAGTCTCCCTGAAGTGCCTGTCAGCCCCAGAGAGCTAAGAGGCCACAAGGCGCCCCAGTGCCTTCCTCGCAGTACGGGACTGGTTTAGGTCTGAAGTGTCAGCACTCAAACGTCGAATGTTCTCCTCTTAAAGCCCCTCCCTGCCAGGAGCATGATGCCACCACGTGTTGGTGGCTACTTTGGTCATAGGTTCTGAAGGACAATGCTAGAGCTGCTGGCATTCATTTCCACCTTCTCATTTTATTCATTTTAAATCAAATTCATTTGAAAACACCTCCCAGCAGCCCTGGCTTCTAGATTCAGTGCTCCACATGGCTCTCTAGGGAGCTAGAGTCCAGGGGGGCTGCATCCTAAGGTTTCCAGAGCCCGTCTTGGGAGCCAGAGGACAGAAGTTCCCACTCAATGTCTAGAATCCTGGCAGATGCTGTTTAGATTCCAGAGGGCAGAAGAAATGGTCATAACCCTCAGATGGGCTCACTTGAGACACCCAGACACAACAGCTGAGCTCTTGGAGACGGCTTTATCTTCACTTTCTTGCCACCAGCTACTAACCCCTTTGTCCCCCCACAACCCACACCAAGCAGAAGGGTTCTTCTTCCATCCCTCATTCAACAAGAGCTAAGAACAGCAGGTCTGTTGCCAGGCCTAGGACCAGGGAGATGGGAGGGAGGAGCTCACACTGAGGGTCGTGTAAGGGTCGTTTAGGTACAGGGTTGCCTAGAGAGGAATGCCTGCCTCCCCTGGCCCTCGTCCAGGCCTCAGCTCTCCACACCCACCTGCTTCTTCCGTGCGGCAGCTGTGATGTAGAGCAGTAGGCCCAGCTCCTGAGAGGAAGCAAGATGCTGTGGGATCAGGTGTTCCAGCATCCAGAAAAGCAGCACCGCCCAGGAGCTGTGCGGGCCTAAGTTTGTCGCTTGCCCTGGGGACTCCAGTTCCCTGTCTAGTTTGACTGAATGAGGTCTAAGGTCTCTTCTTGCCCTAGTATTGACCAAGAATCAGGCCTCTCTCCCGACACAAACCAAATCTGGGAGGAATGAGGGCGGGAGACTCAAGACATCCAAGTCTCCTACTGCCAGTTGTGGCCACTGAGAAGGCGCCTCCCCCCTTCCCCAATCTAGTCAGGAGGCCTGTGCCAGCTACGGAGCACCGCACAAAAGAAGCCATCCAGTGGGCTCTCCACCGCAGCGTCCCGGGCCCCGGCAGGGAGACCAGGAAGGAGCAGTGTTTCTGATCCAGGCCATTATCCATCACACCAGGGGAACCTCTTCTGTCAACAAGAGTGTCATCATAACAACAGCCGATCCAGACTTTAAAAGACGTTCCTCTAAATGCGCTCTAAGAGATGATCAGTGCACCAGGGAACACAGACAGTCTGCATCAGAGGACACCAGCCTCGCCAGGTCTCTGGGCCCTTGCTGGCTTTCTTTCCGAGGATGGCTCAGCCACATGAGGAGAGAGGCATCGGGAACGAGGTCAGAGGGAGGCTGAGAACCCTAGTGCCCAGTTTCCTAGATCAGCCCCATCTGAGGCAGTACAGGGTTGTGGTTAAGGCCACAGCATTCTTCTGGTTTGAATTCTGGCTGAGTGATGTTGGCCTGGTTATTTAACCTCTTTGTGCCTCGGTTTCCTCATCCGTATGTGGAGGTAACAATGCTCACCTCGTTCAGTGGCTGTGAGGATTAAATTAAACCGTTTGGGGGATGTCCCTAGCACAGCGCCTGGCACATGGTGAGCACTCTGCTATTGTCACCAGGCACAGTCATGGGGGTGTAGCTGCCCCTCTCCCAGTGCCCCCACAGCCCTAACAGAGGAGAGGTCCCCATCCCCTTGTCCCCTCGCAAAAGGTGTCTGCATGTGCCTGCCAAGCAAAAGCACACACTCTCTCCACCCCGCCCTCCCCCTCCTTCCTGCTCCATTTATTCATTTGTTCATTCGATAAGCGTCCAACTGTTTACTGTGGACACCATGGGCTGAATCAGAGCTGCCTTTGCAAACCTGCTCATTTTCTCAGTCAACCAAGAAGCATCCAAACTCAGCAAAAGCACATTTGTTGTTTGTTTCCCTTGGTCTGTATATGTTACCCAACGGAAGACAAAGCCCCCAGATTGAGTAATGGGAGAGAAAGCTTAACACCCGCGAAGCCCCGCTACATCTGGACTCTGCATCCAGCTGCCAAGTTTCAAATGGATGTGCTATAAAATCACTGAGTCATGGAGTGTCTCTCCTTTCCCACCCCTCCTCAGTGTACTGCTTCCCCTGAACACACGCGCGCACACACACACGCACGAGCATGCAGGTTGCTGATGGAAACACTAACAGACTTTCAGCTGTAACATCTGTTCAATGCAATCTCAGTTCCACCAGCTACATCAAAGCTGCCCTCCTGCAAGTTATGCAGCCAACATCACGAGTGGGATTAAAATCATGTTTAGTAGTTGGATATGACATAAACTATGTATACCCCTGGAGCCTGGTGGACTCCTGAAAATTCATGTGCTGCACATCCAGAGGAGTGGGGGAGAGAGGGACACCGGCGCGCCTCTGGGACTGGGGTGGAGGCGCAGATGAGACTGGCTAGTATGAGAGCTTCCTAGGGGCCCATTCTCCTGAGGCTCTTCAGGAAAGGCTGGGTATCGAGGATACTGCAAAGAAGTAGGGAAGCTGCAGGAGAGAGGCATCCACAGGATAAACTGAGAATGGCAGGTATGTGATGGAGGAGGGGATCAGGCAGCAAGGGGGGTCCTCTAACAGGTGTGTGCTCCATTTTCCTGCTCCTGAAGACTCATCATTTTATAAAGGATACCCGGGGGGTACGGACCTCCTGGAACTGCCCCCCGAGTTCTGTGGTGGGTTTCTAGATTCTATCAACTGGCACCATCACTTCCTCAAACAAAAGCTCCACCTCCCAGAGTTGAATTTCATAATGTGAGGACATGTGCCAGCCACGCATTTGGATCCAGGTGGCAATTACCAAATGCCTATGCCTTGGGACCTGCTTCTCCAGCCGACAGTGAGACGCAAGCTCCTCCCTGGGTCTGCATATCTCTGAGTGTGGTGCCATCAGAGCCGTAGGGTCCCACAGATGCCCTGCTTAGGTGGCCAGCCCTGCATGGAAATAAAGCTGGGCCTCCTGATTAGACCGGCGCTGGAAGCTGGTGGTCCTCGGCCGGGTGAGCAAGTACCAGCTGATGAGCAGCAGCTGGGAAGAGGCTGCCAGATTCTGGGGATACTAGCTCTCCTGAGAGGTGGGAGGAGAGCTCTCGTGGCTAGTCTTTGCTGCAAGCATCTTTGTAACCACTTGAACTACACTTTAAAAATAAGATTGAGATCATTGAAATACCTGTCATTTCCCTGATAATTCTCCAGGAAAAGGCAGGCAAGCTGGCTGCTCCAGGATCGCAGTCCCCATCCGGAACTGGGGGTCAAGGTGGGAGGACAGGCCTCCAGCACAGTCGGCCATTGCTGCTCAGGAACAGAGTTCTCTCCCCTGTGTCTTAACAAGCTGTCTGCAGATACCAGCGCAGCCCCTGTGGGTCCTCTCCCAGGCCCCAGCCCCCTGTGGGTCATCTCCCCCATCTCCTCAGCACTGGGCAGGGAGGCATGACCTAGCTTGAGCACCAGCAGGGCACAGGGGGGCCAAGGGGTCAAATGATCCCAACTCTGGAGTGGGCTTGTCTCAGTTGGCAGCTGGGGAGCTGTGTATATGACTATCTGAGGGTCCCAGGACCCCACCTGTTGTGTCAACCAGGAGCAGAGCCAGGCAGGCTGGAATCTTGGCCCCCTCGTGCTGCCCTTCACATGCACCCAGAGGGGTCAGCATTTTTCTCGATGTTCTCTCTTTACTTCTTTTTCTGAAAATGAGTTGAACCCTAGAAAGTCTTCATGACCTTCCAGTAATTTGCTCTGCTTATTGCTGAGGACCGGCCAGAAAACATGGCCCAGGGTCCTGGCTAGGTCACTGGGACCAAGCTGTCCTCTTAACTCAGCCTAGAGTTGAACTCCGGTCAGACCTCTAGGCCATGACAGGAAGAGAGATGGGCACTGGCTGTCATCTCCCCTCCCCTGGAGTGTGGATGCCTAGGGGTGCTGAGGCCTGGGAGCCGAAGTGCATGCCCAGGAGCACGGATGCTATCAGCTTTTGGAGCTTTTGGAGAAGGTCCCCTGAGCTCAGGATGACCAGGCTGCCTCGAGGCCATTCTCCTGCAGATTCTCCACCTCTCTGTCTCTCTGCTGTAGATCCCTCCGTCTCTATTTCCATCTTTCTGTCTCTGAGTCTCCTTATCTCTTTTCTCTATTCCTCATTATTTTGTTTGATTCTTCTCAACACCCTGTCATTTCCTGTCTCCATCTGCTTGGTCTCCCCCGGTCTTTTTCTTTTAGTCTGAAGTCTTTGATTAGGTGTCTCTGTGATTAGGTGAGTCTCTCTGTGTATCTCTTTCCATCTCTGCTTCTCTATGTTTCTCTGTCTCTTTTTCTTATTCTTCCTCTGCATTTCTCAATCTCTTTCTCTGTCTCTCTCTCTTGCTCTCTCTCTCTTTCTGTCTGTCTTTCTCTATCTGTCTCTCTGTCTCTCTCTCTCTCTCTGGTTCCATGTCTCTCTCCGATGTAGGTATCTCTCTGCCTGCCTCCCATCCTTTCCGTACGATCTCCCTGTGTGTCTCTCTGTCTCTGCTCCCTGTCTCCCTGTCTCTCTCCCTCTCTCTGATTTCCTGTCTCCTTCACCTCCCACCACTTAGCGCTTCAGAGCTTGGCTTCTCATCATGCTGAATGAGAAAGACGACGACGAGCCCAGCCTGGGAGCCGTGGGCTGGGTGACACCAGTCAGGACTCAGCAGAGATGATTAGGCTGATGAAAGAGTGTAAATGCCACTTTCAAGTTAAGGGATGCACTAGAACCTTTACACAAGGAGATGTGAAATGACATTTCAAAGACAGAAAGTTTGTATTTAAATGGACTTAGTGTCCACCCTCCCCCTTATGCCCCCTGCATCCCTCTCCCTGCCTCTCCTTTCTGAAGTGTAGCCAGCACGCTCCTGGGGGCCCAGGCAGCCACGCTTCCTGGCCAGCTGTTCATTTAAACACCAGGCATTGAATCCACAGAGGGAGCCCTAACCCCATCACCAGGACTGCCTGAAGCTGGCACCTCCATGGAGTGGGGGAGCCCCCTGCTGAGGAACCACTGGGGCGGTGGCTGTTCTGAGGGTCCCTGGGTGGTGGAATCTCTGGCCTTTACCCTCCATATTACCCAAGGGGTCTTCCTGCCCCATTCATTCCCAAAACCATGGACACCGCTCTCCAGTCTACAAGGGAAACTCTTCTCTCTGCAGACCCGCCGCTTGTCAACCTATCAGTGGAACCACAGCCAGTGCTGGAGGACAACGTCGTCACGTTCCACTGCTCTGCGAAGGCCAACCCGGCTGTCACCCAGTACAGGTAAGAGCCACTGCTGAGGAGGCCCGGCCTGGCCACTGGACCCTCCACACCCGTGCCTATCTCATGGGGTGTCACTTGTGGTCCTGGGCATCCAGCACAGTGCTTGGTTCACTGTGGGTGCCCAAGATCCTCTCCCTTCCCCACACACCCATCCAGCCCTGGCCAAGTGAGAACTCCTTCCCTCTGCCTTGTCCCCTCCACCCCCAGCCAGACAGACTTCCTCTCCGTCATGTACACACACGCTCCCTTTCTACCGGAGGCAATACGTATCACCTCTTCTGATTGAATAGCTTGTTTATCCCTTATTTCTGAAAAGAGGGATTGAGGCTCATGAAAAAAGTTAAAACAACCAGGACAACCAGTAAGATCAGAACCCAGATTCTAGCCGTGTGCTCACCCAACTGTTCACCTGGGCAGGGTAGGATTTCTGGAACGGTCAGCCCTGTCCAGCGGGCACCTGGGATCGTTCATACCCATGGCCCCAGTGCAGCCTTGCTCACAACAAAAAGCATCACTGCTTTTTACATGCTTGTCTTTCCCTGTTGACTTCAAAAGTGAAGGCAAGAACTGCAATTCAGTCACGTATAGCTCTCAGCATGGCGCACAGTGTGTGGCGTGTAGCGGGTACTCCATAATGTGGGCTGACTGACTGGATAAACACACAGAGCGGCTCCTCTGGACACCTTTCTGCTGGTGCACATCACTGCACAAGATTTCCAGAAATGAGTGACCTCAGAGGTGCTCAAGGGCAGACTCAGACCCTCGCCTCCTTTAGATGCCTGTGGAACTAGCCACGGCCCTAACTCTGCCCCATCCCTTCCCACCAGCCCGGACCTGATCAGGGAGCCAGAGTGTCACCTCTGCCGTAGAGATGGGTTGTTAAGCTGCAGCATCAGCCAGTGCCAGGGAGGCCAACGGTCCCAGCCTCCCAGCCGAGGAAATAAGCCAGCCCAGGGAGGGGAGGACGGGGAAGACAAGAGGCAGTGTAGCCCCGAGGGTAATAGAGGAAATGGCCAGAGAGGCAGCCAGAGACTCAGGTTGGACACAAGGAGGAGCTCCCTGCAGTGCAGATAATTAAGCAACACTGGAGCCAGAAGCCCGGGAAAGACAGTCTTTATCCTTGAGGGTATTTTAAAAGAGGATGAAAACCCATCTGTCCTGTCCGATTTAGCCAGTCACTGGGCTAGAGGCAGGAGAAAGAAGATGACCTCCAGGCTCCCTGGGGTCGTGCAGCCCAGCAAGTCCAGGGGGCAGGTCTGGTTTGGCCAGGACCTGGCATGTGTCTAGAAGTGACTAAAGATGCAGAAGGAAACACCCAAGGACACGCCCTTTCTCAAGGTTTCCACCCTGCACCTGTGAGCTCAGGCTCCTCTCTACAAGGTCAGCTTCTCTCTGCTGTCTGCTCCCAGCTCTCTGCGTACAATCCCTAAATACCAGGCACCATGTGCACAGAAAATACTCTAGTACTGGGCAGCCCTTCACTCCCACAGACCACACAGGCAGGCACACCCCACATTCCCCCTCACATTCCCCCTCACAGCTGTCCCAGGAACGCCTGTTGGACCCCAGAGACCAGCACATACAACTCCCAACTTCACTGCCAGGCTCCAGTCATCTGAGGACCTGGTTACGGGAGGGCTGGGTGGAGGGCAGGGCCGTGCTCCAGGGCCTAGCAATGTCCCCCTCTCCGTGCCTGCCTTCCCACCAGGACAGGGGAGCAAATACCAGGAAACCAGGCTGCTGGGCCTGATTCCCAGAGTCATCACCCTCAAAAAAAGCAGAACACCGATGATGACGGTAATAATAAGGTATAAGTCTACATACGGAGAGATCATCATAAAGCAAACGTGGCACGATATTAACAACTGGTGAATCTAGGTGAAGGGAGTATGGCAGTTAATTGGACTATTCTTGCAACTCTCTTATAAATTCAAAGGGTTTTTTTCAAACTAAAAAGTTAATAAATAAAGAAACAAACAAGCCCAGGATGTGCAGGCTTCCCTAGGCTGTGGGTATCCTGTGGTTTCTCTCCGTCTCCACCCTACCAGCAGCCCACAGTTGCAGGTCAGCCCCTCACACACAGAGCAGGAGGAGCTGCGAGGTGCAGGGCTGGCCAGAGCGCACATGTTCTTACTTGTCATCTTCCCTCGTGGCCGCCTGATTAGCCACAGGCCTTGAAAATGCTTCGGTGCGGATCAGGCTCCCTCCAGGACTCCAGAGGCTTCCGGGAAGCTCTTCAGGCCGCTAGGAAAATGTGGGAGAGTCGGGTGGCCAGGGAAGGAGCAGGGTGGAGCGGCCGTGAAGAGGAGGCAGCTGGCGTGTGCCCACCCACACCGCCTCAGCCCCCTCACTTCAGCGAGGTCTCCCCCAGCAGGCAGACGGTCGTGCTAGATGTGGTGCTGGGATCCGAGAGGACGAGCCTTAAGCAAATCCCATCACAAACGTACATTGATTTTTCCCTACTGACTCTGACAAGATTACAGGGATCTTTGTTTCTTTCCTTGCATAGTCTTGATTGTTCCACGTAAGAGGCTGTGATCTTGGAGGTTAGAGATATTCCCTCCTCCACCCCAGCACCCAGAAAGGGGACATGGGTGGGCAAGGAGTGCATCCAGCTGGGCTCAGCTGTCACTTCAGCTGCCCCACTGGACCAGGGGCCAGGTGAGCAGAACAGGCCTGAGCACGCTGTGACATGCATCTCCCCACCTGCTTCTCATACTCTCCTCTGAGGCTCCCTCGGTGCCCCAGCACGTAACGGGAGGGGACCACCGCCCAATGTGAAACACAGGGCTCTTTGAGGACAGCCTGTGGGCTGTGACACCCCGGGCCTCCTGATTCTGCGATATGAATAATTAATCCTCTTACATTGGCTCAGGCCAAATTAGACATTGATTGGGAAAGGCTTAATCTGACTCCTTTTCCAAGGGGCTGGGAGGGGTGGTGAAAGCCGCAGTGGCGGCAGGGGGATCGGTGGGTGGCTAGGGTGAAGGGATGAGTTGGAAGGAGGAGGAAGCTAAGCCCAAGAACACAGAGGAGAAGAGAGAAGAGACAGGAGAGGGTGGGACCCGCTCTCTGGTTCACCCTTGATCCTGTGGCCAGCTTCTTGAATGAGTGCTTGGGGCTTCTGGAAGGGATCCCTACAGATGGGTTCTTTGGTGTGGGAGGAGGATAAAGGAAGACATAAAGGAAGAAAAAGACTAGCTGAGCGAGACGTAAACAGGGGACTCTTGGGGTGTCCCCAAAAGGCCTTGGCCTTGGGCACCTGAGGGCCCTGGAAAGCCCTCACAGCCAACTCCTGCCCATGACCCTGGGGGAGGATAGTCTAAGAATTCTCCTGCTCCCCACTCTGCCTCTAAGGTAGGGACAGGACCCGAGGAGCTAAGGGCAGCAGCTACACAGATGGCCAGGCTCAGACAGCACCACTCTGCTGGGGACAAGAAAACTTAGTCCCCCAGCCATCCCACTGGGTTCTGGGCCTGCGGGAGCCCCCACAGCTCTCCTGAGCTCCTCAAGGCCAAGCAGATGGAGCTTCCACCACTAGTGACTTACACTGAGATGTGCCCCAGATGGAGAGGGGAGAAAGCTCCATCTTCTCCAGGAACCTCTCCAATGATGAAAGAGGACCACCTATCAGAACCTACAGGCCTGTGCCCATGCCTACCCCCTGCCCCAGCATCTGGTGCCATAAGCAGCCAGGAGCAGAGGTCTGGGCAGAGCAGGTAGAAGGAGTGGAGGTTGGACACACATCCCCAACCATATGTCCGGACTGAATTCATCTGCCTCAGGCAGGGGCTGGGCCTGACTATTAAGTCAGGTCATTAAATTAAAGTTAGAAATTGAAATGATTCATGAATAACTCATAATGGTTTGTTGGGAAGCTCCTTAAGCTCTCAGGGAGCTATGGTTTGCTCTGTTGTTAAACTATAATTGTTATTATTAATCATGTTCTTAATAATTACCCTATATTAATTCGCGATAATAACCACATGGTGCCAGCCTGGGTGCTCCGTGTGACGCAGAGAGACGGCATCTCTCGGGGCTGGACAGGCCGGACTAAGCAGGAAGCTAATGGAGGGAAGGGCAGGAGATGATCCAGGAAAGGCTCCAGGAATAAAGGCAGAGCCAGCAGGGAAGCTGTGGCTACAGGGTAACAATTGTGGGGGCCGAGGAACCTCTCCAGCTATGGTAAAGACATACACCCCAAAATAGGCTTGACTGTGGTAGGAGGAGCCTGGTCGGAAGTTTGTGATTTAAAGTGCATTGTCCACAAGAGGAGTAAACAGGGAAGCTATGAACTCTCTCTCCATGGGGATCTGTAAGGAAAGCCCCCACCCTCACACATGCACACGCACCCTGGGGCTCCCAGTACCGCCCCATAGGTAACAGGCTGCCCCGTCACTGGTCCAATGGAGTGATCACCACCCCAAGGCCAGGACCAAGACAGGCCTGAGGTTTACTGGTCTCTCACCTCTGGGGGTGCCCATCAGCCGATTGGCTGCTGAAGGAAGTCAGCACAGCCTTCTTCCCGCCTCCCCGACCCAGCTGGGAGTGATGGAGCCACGGCCTCTGAGGAGTGAAGCCAGGGTGGGAGGGCGGAAGCTAGGCAGGAAAGAGCAGTGCCATTCCCAGGATGGGGGCTGAAAGGGCTTTCAGGGAGAGCGGCGCCAGGCAGGGACCCAGCCTGGAGAGAGGTGTTACGACAGGAGAGCTGAGAGAGCTGGCCGAGTGGCAGGCAGGGGCAGGCAGGACCACTGGCTAACACCACTGCATCAGCTCCACCTTATCTGGAAATTGAGCTTCCTGGAGCCTCATTTCTCTGTATGGGTGTGTGTACACATGCGCATGCATGTGTGTGCACGTGAGCATGCATATATGGGTGCATGCCATTAGACTTTGGCCTCTGAGGCCATGGACTTGGCCTCCCTTTTTTCTGGCGTGGCCCAGGAGGGGACCCCCATAGAGCTCAGAGCAGGACAGCTATGCTGTCCAGGACTGACAGTCGAGTTACCCATTGCCCAGCCAGAATAGGCGACCCTCCTCCCTCCAGAATGACCTGCTTGTCAAGTACCACTGACGGCCTGATGACCCATGGACCAAAGCCCACCACCTCCACCACTGACTCCTCCCCCAGCCCCGGAAGTAACCCCTCTGTGGAGATTTCCCCTGGGGGGCCCCTCAGGGGACCTGCCCCATGCTGCCCCATGCCAGGCCTCGTTTTCCCATAGGATGGATGTGTCCAGCTCCCACAGAGAAGTTCCCCCAGGCGGGAGGGCCACCCTTGCCATTGGAGGTCCACACCAGCCTCGGGGCCTGTGTTACAGGTGGGCCAAGCGGGGCCAGATCATCAAGGAGGCCTCTGGAGAAGTGTATCGGACCACCGTGGACTACACATACTTCTCAGAGCCTGTCTCCTGCGAAGTGACCAATGCCTTGGGCAGCACCAACATCAGCCGCACGGTTGATGTCTACTGTGAGTGCAGCTGTCGAGGGATCCCTGGGGGTGGGCACTGGGCCAACTCATTGCACACAACGGGACAAGGCCTCACAAGCTCATGAGGCTGCGCACTTTACAGAAAGCTTCCTCTTGTGGTGTTTCATTTATATCTGGACTCTCATAGTAACCCAGGGAGGCAGGAACTAGTATGCCCACCACCCAGATGAGGGGATGGAGGCCCGAGGTCACATGGCGAGTAAGTGGCAAAATGTGAACAGAGACCAGGCTCTGAGTGAATCCACTGCCTCCCATTAGGGGCTCACGTACATCACCCTCTTCCCTGGTGGCCTGGGAGAGACCCACGGGGAGCCAGCCCATGGCTGATGAGCCCCTTAGTGATGTGTTCACAGCACTAAGTGTTAGCTCGTCTACTGCCCTTTACAGTTTGAAAAGCACTTTTACAAAGTTTCTTTATATCTGACCCCTCCACTTTTTCCCAGAAGCCTCAGCAAGAAGTGCTGTTACTCCCTTTTTACATCAGGGACAAATCCGGGTCTCCTGACCCTGGATTTCACACCCTTCTGCTCCCTGAAAGCAGCTCCCTGCACACCCTCCCGTCACCGCACCTGAAATTCCACCGTTGCCCCCACTTGGGACCAGGGCCTGGTCTGCAGGAGGCTCCGGTTACAGGCGCCGTGAAGGGGAAGGCGGGCAGAGCCTCTATTAACACTCACCAACACTTGGCAGGGCGTGGGAAACCGGCCAAGGGCAAGTCTACTTCAGTGGGGTTGAAAAAGAGGCTGGGCAGGGCTAGGAAAGAGGATGACCTAAGAGCAGGGGCAGAGGACATCCCAGAGGAGGCCTGGCCTCCTCCGCTCCTTATCTCAGAGCCCCTTGGAGGGCCCCAGGAGGGCTCAGGGAGCTGGGCCAGGTGCACGGGGTACCTCGATCCCAGGTCACAAAGCTTAGGCCTGGAGGAGGACAGGGTACCTGAAGGCAGATACATGAAGATCCCAAGGCCCAAGATTTCTGGGGCAGGAGGAAGGCCCCTCTGCCCACACAGTGGGGAGAGGGCTTCCTGGGACCAGGACAGAGGGACAGGGATGGGCGAGCCCTGGGGGAAATCCAGGCAGAAATGGGGTCAGAGCACCTTTTTCCTGGGGCCGTGCTGCCTACCTCTGCGGTGGGCCAAGGGAGACTGGGCTGGGGGAGAGGGGTCTCCTCCTCACTTCCCAAGTCCCACTCCAGACCCAGGCCCAGCCTGGGCAGAGGACTGAAATGCAAGGGAACAAGATTGAGGTGGCATAGGTACCCGCTGCCCCCTTCCTCTAACTGGGGTGGGAGGGTCCCCAGAGATCCCGGCTCACCAGACCCCTGTCTCCTCCTTCCTCCCATCACAGTCGGGCCCAGGATGACCATGGAGCCCCAGTCCCTGCTTGTGGATCTGGGCTCCGATGCCATCTTCAGCTGCGCCTGGACGGGCAACCCATCCCTGACCATCGTCTGGATGAAACGGGGCTCTGGCGTGGTGAGTCCACACTGAGACCCCAGAGGACCTCTGGCAGGGGTGGCGGGCCCACGGGCCAGGAGTGGGGGGAACCACCCTCCAAGGCCCCTCTCACTCTTAGATTGGGGGCATCAGCCTCCTGTGCAAGCTGAAGGAAGAAGCACCCCAGAAAGAGGAGAGGGCACCCCAGGTATCCATGTGTACCCCTCAGCCCTAAACACATCAGCCTTTGCAGCTTTGCCCTGTCATGAGCCTGATAAGAAAAGCAGGTGGGGGCCGGCCTGGTGGTGCAGCGGTTAAGCGCACGCTCCGCTGCGGCAGCCCGGGGTTCGCTGGTTCGGATCCTGGGCGCGCACTGACGCACCGCTTGTTAAGCCATGCTGTGGCGGCGTCCCATATAAAGAAGAGGAACATGGGCACAGATGTTAGCCCAGGGTCAATCTTCCTCAGCAAAAAAAGAAAAAAGAGGAGGATTGGCAACGGATGTTAGCTCAGGGCTAATCTTCCTCACAAAAAAAAAAAAAAAGAAAGAGAAAAGCAGGTGGTCACTGACACGCTGGGAGTGACAAGTCATCGGGAGGGCTTTTCAACTCTCCCCACTAGTTAAGTCACCCTCTAGCCCTGGGGTTAAGGTTTGCTTTCTTCCTGTGTTCCTCTTCCAGAATGTGTGTGTTCTTTAGCGTGCATGAATTTGTCAGCACGTCCCTCCCCTCTGGAGGACCAGTGACAGCCTCGAGCAGGGCAGGAGGGGGAGAGGCAGAGGGACACTGACCCCTGTGTGGCCTACTCCCTGCCAGACACTGCGCTGTCCTCTGAGCATGACTGCCCCCATGGTAGGGATAAGGAAACAGCATAGGAGAAGATAAGTAACTGCCCAAAGCCACCAGGTAGACACTGCTGACGGCAGGATTCGAACTCAGAGCTAGCTAATGCCAAAGTCTGTTTTATTGTCGTCACCCCAAACTACATGCCAAAGGGATCCTGAAAATGACTCAGAAAAGACAGGTATGGGGACCCTCAAAGAAGCTCAGATGTAGGATAATTTCCCCAGTGGCCACACTGGTAGAATTTGGTCAGCAGCCCCTCCATCTGTGAGAAAGCCTCGGGGGGTCCTCAGCCAGGGATCCCCCTCCTCCTCCCACACTCATCCCTCCTCCATATGCCCCCACTTAGGGCTGAAGCTGGGAAGTAGTATCTTCAGCTACTCACGGAGAGTTCCCGTGCGTGGGCTCTCCCCTCAACAGCTCACCGGGCACACTGTGTAATAAAACATCTGCCTCCTACCCCACCCCTGCTTTTTACTGAGATACTGAAGACTGAGTCACTTACCACCGGGCCTGCCTCTCAGCCCTTCGGTTCTGAGGGACAGAGAGAGCCCACCCCTATTCTTTGTGTCTGATCTTCCCTGATTCTCCTAGGTCCTCAGCAATGAAAAGACCCTGACCCTCAAAAACGTCCGCCAGGAGGATGCTGGGAAATATGTGTGCCGAGCCGTGGTGCCCCGGGTGGGAGCTGGGGAGCGAGAGGTGACCCTGACTGTCAATGGTAAGTCCCCCACTCGAACTAGGGTGACAGGGGAAGAGGGACCCAAGGCATCTTGGTCCCGGGCATTGCCCCAAAGGGACTGTCGTTGGTTCTGGCCTTGCTACGACCTCCATAGCAATGATGTCCACCTCTTCTAGTCTGTGTTGGAGCCCAGCCCTGAGGTGAGGGAGGGCCTGGGTAGTTTTCTGGTCACCTCCTCCTTCCTTTGTTACTTCTAAGGACTCTCAGCCCTAAGTGTATCTCTGAGGAATTTTATCCTGGCCAGGAAAGAAGAGTCAGAAGGCCACTGGGCAGCCAACGTAGATCCCATTTCTATCTTTTGACCTTGACCTTGGCCCTGGTGGGGAATTTAAGGGAGCGTCTCTGTGATTCCTGGTCAGCTATTTCCCATTGCATTAGTGCTGCTCAACCAGGAAGACCTGTCATCATCCCCATAAGACCAAGTGTTCAGGGAGCCCCTTGAGGGCAGGGAATGTGTCTTAAAAAAAATCATTACAGGGGCCGGCCCAGTGGCATAGTGGTTAAGTTTGCTCATTCCGCTTCAGCGGCCCGGGGTTGGTGGGTTTGTCCCATACACAAAATACAGGAAGATTGGCACAGATGTTAGCTCAGGGCCAATCTTCCTCACCAAAAAAAAAAAAAAAATCCTTACACAGGAGAGTGTTTTCGCATCTCTCCAAGAACACAGTGAGAGTTACTAGATGACAGCTACATGAAACATTTAGGGGACAGGCATCAGGCCAGGCCTGGACGATGGGATGTGGAAGGTCATGGGGAAGCTGAGACCTAGCTCAGGTCAGACCCAAGAAGACTGTGGTACCAGGATGGAAATTACTGTCCCTGCAGTGACATGTGCCTTAGCCGTGGTCAGCAACCCAAGTTGCTGGTTTGAGAGGGTGAAGGCCAAGTCCCTCTGCCATTTCCAAACTCCCTCTCTCTGCTGGGTTCTGGGTTCCTATTGTGAGCCCCCTGCCCCCACATAGTCTGCCTCAGATCAAAATCCAGAGGCGCTGAGCCCCGGCAGGAATCGATCCACAAGCCCATGTTTGTAGGGCCTCTGGGTCCTGCCCCAGATCAGGGCCCTAGGGAAGGGCTGAGCTGAGTTCTAGAAATTTGCCCCATCAGCCTCATCTCAACCCAGGAAGCCGCCCACTGACAGCCTCATCTACTCTCCTCCCTTGCTAGAAAACTAAAACCAGCTTGGTGCTTCCTCAGCCATCCCCCTCTGCTGTCCTCATTAGCCAGCCTCCTCCATCTATTTCCCTCCCTCTCCCCCTTCCCCAGGGTCGCAGCAGCCCCAGAGGGCAGGTGAATGTACCCAGACCCAGAGTGCTCACAGGCCACCTGTCCTGGGCAGAACCCTGACTCAGGAGCCTCCCCGCCTTTCCTATGTGTCCCCGGGATGCCACCAATAAATTGGCACTGCAGGGCTAAAAATAACAGCATCTGATGGCGCCTCCGTATATCCATGGCAACAGAGGCTGCAGCCTTTTCCTGCCGCTCTGTGTCTGACACTCAGCTCCAGCGCCAGGCCCTGGTGAAATCAGTGGCCTCTCCCTCTGGGAGAGTGCTGGGGAGTCCTGCTGGTCAGTGACTGCAGCCAGCTCGGTCCACTGACCCTGTGACCAACCTGGCTGGGGACCCTCACACTCACACGTGGCCTCCAGGGTCCCCAAGCCTGAAGCTTTTAAACAAGTGTCGGGGAAGAGGGAGAATCCCCCCTCCGCCCTTTCCCTCAAGGTTCTTATGGCTGGCCAAATAATTAAAAAGACAGGTTAGCAGGAGAAAATAATACCAAGTTTAATAACATGTATACATGAGAGAAACCAGGGAAACTGAGTTTTCTCAACACAATAGCAGAGATTGTGCCTTAAATACTATCTTCAGCTAAAGACAAAGGAGGATGTTGGGGGTGGGGGTGTCAGTTATGGGAGATTACCAGTAAAGCACAGTAAACAAGAGTAAGGTTATTATGCAGATTTAAGGCCTCACCTTCCACATTGATAAGTTCCTAGAGATGAAGTCATCCCCCCTCTTCCCAATACAGAGATGGAGATACCTTTACAAATGGAGATTTCCCCTATAAATGTAAATGTCTGGCAACTCCTAGCAGGGCTGCCTAGAGAATGCAGCCGGGAAGAGACAGAATTTTTGATAAGATGGGCTCGTTGGTGCCTTTCCTATTGTAATATCTATTTTACATTATATTACAGCCATCAAATAGTAACTCCTTCCTGGAACAGGTCTTCTATGTTAAATTCTTTAGGCAGTTAGTGGAGGAGGTCAAATGTCCATCAGAGAAAACAATAAAGGTAAAGAGACATATTTCAGGGTGGCCAAATCTTGATCTCTCACACAAGCATCCTCGTTTCTGGGGAAAACAGGGTGGATGAAGGGGGCTGACATTCCCTTGTCACTTTAGACACTCAGGCATTTCCCAGCAGGGATTTAAGGTGGCTTCCTGAGGAGGGAATGGACACCTGGGGGATGTTTCTCCTGGATAGGACACCCCGGCCTGGGCCCTGGCCTCTAGCCAGGGTTTAATCTGCCCCCTCAGCGTCCATCCTTCCACCCGCCTCCTCTGCCCCCAATCCTTCCAGCACAAGCTCCCCTACGCTGCCAGGAAGAGAAATCCCCAAGGGATTGGAGTGAAGCAGGGAGGATGTTCATTTGTTCCTGCTGAACTAGGGTCATCTCAGCCTGAGGAAGGGGAAGGGATTGAGTGGTCCAGGGAGAGGAGCCCGCCACCCTGCACGGGAGTGGAAGTGTCTGGAGGGGCGTCTGGAGACCAGCTGGAGGGATGGCGAAGCCCTTTGGAGAGGGGCCTGGCCTAGGCTGAAGGGATCTGACGTCATGAAAGGGTCCAGAATGAGATGGGGTTCTCAACAAAACCAACCCCAGCCATGGACGGCTGCTGGCCGCTGCCCTCTGGGAAGTAAACTGGCCCAGATCTCAGTGACGTGGCTCAAACTCCAGACCTGCAGGAAGGGGAAGATAAACCACACCACTGCTGTGCTTTGACTCCTCAATCCCGACCACCTTTCTCCTGATTTCTGCTTTCTTTTAAGAAGCCCTTAAACACATATGCATTTGCCTGATCACTTTAGGATGCCCGAGACGCCCCTAGGGAATTCCTCACTCCTAGGAAGTGAAGGGGAAAAGGTTTGATGGTATCCTCACTTTCAGCCCAGCAGCAAAACAAAGCCATGCCAGTTCCTACAACAGGAAGCCCTCCCCGCTTTGGGCCAAAGCCTTCTTGGAGCAAAGCACGTGCACTCTTACAGCCTCCTGAGGGTGGAAGCCCTCATCCTGAGGGTCTCCACATCTGCCCCACCCAGCTCCGAGCCATCTGCCATCCTCCACCCAGTAGAAGTCACCTGAGTGTCTCCAGCACCTTTTTTCCCCTTGGTTGAGAGCTACTCATAGAAATGCAAATCTGTTTTAATTAAGGTGGCTAATAAACAGCAATTATGTTTGCAGTGATTTTTGTTTTGTTCCCAGCATAATTTTGCCTGTCCTCCAGATCCCATGCTAGCTATAGATCTCTTTCCTCTCCTTCCTGCCACCGAAGCCCCAACTTTTCCCCCTGCGATTGGGAAGGGGGCACGAGGGTCTCTATCCCCACCCCACACTTCAGCTGCCCAGCGCAGCCAGGAAGTTAACTGAGCAAATGGCTGAACTAGCCGCTGGGCATATGCAGGAAAAACTTAGGTTAGATAAAAGGCAGAAGTGGACAGGGAGCACTGTTGGACTTCAGGTTCCGGATGAACACTGCAGGCTGTCCGGTGCGGTGAATGAGGCAGGTACTCCCGGAGACATCCATAAACATGTCACACACACGCAAGTACCTGCATGCACACGCGCGCACAAGGACTGCACGGGACAAGGTCGAGGTCAGCTCTGGAGCAGTGGCCTCACCTGGGCCGTCTGGGTATGCTTGTGGAGGCGGGCCAGGCCATGAACTCCAGGATCTCCTGAGACATATGTGAGATGAAGGCTGTGAACACGCCCAGTGCTTTCCACCTGTCTAGGGAGGGTCCCCCCTTGGAAGAGGAACATCACCATTTATTTCTCTTCCTCCCCCTTGGCCCGGCCCTGCCAAGGACATTTGGTTTGTTAGGCAAACACGCCCTCTACTGCAGGTCTGAGAAAATGGCTTGAAATTGAACAGCTGGCTGAGGTGGAGGTGACATTACTTAGCACTATATACCCGTCCCCTGTCCCCACCCCGACCCCGACATCTCCCCCACTCCCTTCACAGGTTTAGCACCTCCTTCATAAAGCTTTCCCCATCGGCAGGTAGAGTTATTCTCTCTCCTCTGAAGTCAGTTAGCACATCTGTACGGCTCCTGTGGTACCACCTCTCACCACCTTCCATTACAGCTGTTTACATCTTCTGGGCATCCTGACGTAGCAGCCTTCACTCATGATCCCTTGAGAGGTTTATGACTGAGTGATAATTTATCTTTGTGTCCCCTGCCTTGCACTTTACCTTACACGTACAGGCCTTTAGTAAATGTTTGCTGAATGAGTGAGTTAATGAATAAACCTCTGAACCTGCCCAAGAGGGGCCCTGCCAGGCACCTGCCTTTCACGAATCCCTGATGTGATGCTGTCTGCCCAACAGGACCCCCCATCATCTCCAGCACCCAGACCCAGCATGCCCTCCATGGGGAGAAGGGCCAGATCAAGTGCTTCATCCGGAGCACACCACCACCCGACCGCATCGTGAGTACTCCGGGGCAGGGAGGGGAGGGCGAGCGCATGGCCAGCACACTCAGTGGCCTGGCAGGTCATCTCAGCCCACAGGTGTGCCACCACAGGGCCAGTAGGTGCACGCCTCTGAGTGAGCTTCCTTTCCCCAGTGGGGAAAATTTTACCTGCCTTGTTTCTCTTGGAAAGGCATCGTAGAGACAAAAACCACAGGCAGCCTCCTTTCTCAGAACAGGCTGTGCCCCAGGGTTCATCAGCAGGGGTATTGAACTCCACTCTGCCATTCAGCTGTGCACTAACTTTGATGGTTCTGACTGAATTCTGCATCCCAGGAGCAGAGGGGCAAGTGAGGGGAGCGGAAGGAAAAGATAAATAATTTCTTCCCTTTCCTGGGTTCAAGGCCAGTCTTTGGCAAAATCCTACACAGAACGCAGTTTATAGTTGGCAAACCCCTTTCTGCGCCGCTCAGAGTCCTCCTCTATGGGCCTCCACCGCCTTGACGTTCATGGAGAATGCTGCCCTGTTTATCAAATTTTCCCCTCCAAAAATATCACTCTGTTCTCCCTCCCTTCCTCAAAACTCTCATCCTGGCAATGCAGCTAAGGCAACTGGAATAGTTCTCCCACCTCCTAGCTATCTGCATTTGTAACAGCCAGGGTCTCCCACTCAAGGCCGCCTGAGACTGGCGGAAGCAGAAGCATGAAAACAAAGAGAGGTGAGCATTTCCCAGCATGGCTAGGGGCAGGTATTATTGTGAGTGAGTCCCAGTGCCTAGGCCGGTCCTGCTAGCAGACTGCCCGGGGCAGCTTTGCAGAACTGCTCTACCCTCTCACAGTGCAGTGGTGCCGGGGAGGGCATGAGGAGCACACGCAGAACACCTGTGGGCCGTGCCAGGCTGGTACGCCGAGGCTGAACACACTGAAGGTGTCGTCCTGTACACTAAGATATTATTAGAGCAGTATCACTGTTACACACTGTCTCAAGCATTCAGTTCATTCGCTGTCTGAAAGATTCATGCAAAAATTGCAATAATTTATGCATAGAACTAATATCTATGCCTCCGCGTTCACTTCACTCTTTAATTTTTTTAATTATCAGTGTAACACATTGTAGAATATTCCATTCACTCTTGAGCATATTCACACAATCTTACTCTTCACAGATATCTAACTCTAGGCCAGCGGTTCTCAACCAGGGTGGTTTTGCCCCCAGGGGACATTTGGTGATGTCTGGAGACATTTTGGTTGTCACAACTGGAGGGATGCTACTGGCATCTAGTGAGTAGAGGCCAGAGGTGCTGGTAAACATCCCTCAATGCTGAGGACAGCCCCCACAAGCAACAGTTATCTGGAATATCAACAGTGCCGAGTCTGAGAAACCGCCCTCGGCTCACTGGTGCCCTCCGCACCCCATCTGAGTTGCGACTTCTCACCAACACTCTGAGCCTGGGTGTGCAAGGTGCTTACAGCGTACATGAAATGGCTCTGAGAAAAACTAAATTATCATCCTTATAAACTAAGATAGATTAAGATTTTCATAAATACAATTCTCGGAACGTACTTTGTACAAACGGACATACAAAATAACAAAACTGGACTCAGCTGCTCTGGGGCTGGGCTTCTCTCTCCGCCTGCAAGGTGGCAGCACAGTGCTGGGGTGCCAGCGCCGGCCAGCCGAGGGAGGGGCTCCGATCGCTGCCACAGAGTTCCCTGTTGGCCTGGAAAAATGTTCCAGTCAGAGCCACATAAGGCCCCCTTGTCAATGGAAATACCCTCTAAGGTGGCCCAACTTCTGTGTGTGTATGTACCTGTGTATGCGTTTGTGGGGGGGGGGTTGGTGTGTGCATGTACCTGTGTGTACATGTGTTGGCTCTGTGTGTGGTGTATGACGTGTCTTTACGTTTGTGGTGTGTGTTGTGATGTGTGCGTACACATGCTGGCGCTGTGTGGCAGTGAGCACAAATGTGAGCCTGCCAGTGTCAGCCCTGGGGCAGGGAGGTGACGTGGTGGTCCTGGTGTGGGTGGCTCTGGTGGGGTCTCCTCCTAATTCTGCACACCTCGGACAGGCCTGGTCCTGGAAGGAGAATGTGCTGGAGTCAGGGACGTCTGGGCGCTACACGGTGGAGACAGTCAGCACTGAGGAGGGGGTCATCTCCACCCTAACCATCAGCAATATCGTGCGGGCAGACTTCCAGACCATCTACAACTGCACCGCCTGGAACAGCTTCGGCTCTGACACAGAGATCATCCGGCTCAAGGAGCAAGGTGGGGGCCGCCAGGGGACGATGGGACCTGCAGGCCCTCTCCCCGCCTAGGGCAGGGCCCCAGGCAGGGTCTTCCAGGGTCATGAGGGGACAGAGTGCCTAGCCAAGGCTACAGGCAGGTTGAGGGCTGAGGACAAGTCACAGCATTCTGCCTAACTTGCCACGCAGCCTTGGGCAGGTCAGTGGAAGCGGCCCTCCTCCGCCCAGTTCCCCCCGAGGCAAGGGGCACTAGCCTGCACCAGGAAGCGAGAAGGGAAGAAAATTCTCAGGGCAGTGGCCCTTTAGGGCAATGTTTCAGGGAAAGGCGATCACAAGTACGAGCCCAGCTAATCGTCCAACAGCTTCCAACTGGCTTCTGTGTACTTGGCTAGGTACCTAGCACCCTAAGGGGTGTGTAATCTGCTGAGAGTGTCCACACAGGGATACACCAGGATGGACGTGTTGAGGAACCTGGCCCAGCTAGTCAAGACAACAAGCCAGTCCAGTTACCCAAAAGTCCCTGGATGGTGCCCATGCTGAGCTAAGGGGTAGCTCTTGAGTTGTCCCAACCCCTGGTTGGAGGCGGGGGGGGCGCCAGGCTCAGACCGTCTGCAGTTCCCCGGGGACATAGGAGACACATGGACCATTGTGCTCTGAAGGAGACACCAGTCAGAAGGGCAGCGCTGGGCGGAAGGGTCAGAGCTCCTGGGCGGGTGAGAGGGAGGAGGAGAGCGGAGGAAGGCTCACCCCACTGTGACCCTGTGTGCAGACTGCCCAGCTCCTGGTCAGGGAGATGCTAAGAACTCTAGTCTCTGCTCAAAGGTCTCAGCAGAGACCAGAGGGTAGGGAGTCGCCGAGGGGCATAGGGGCTGAATCCGGAGAAGCTCAGCAGACAGCCAGCAGCCCACGGGTCCTGAGACGGGCTGTAGGTCTTGTCCCTTTGCCGGTGGGAATTAGTCCATGGCGGACAGGGCTGTGCAGGGGGCCTAGGCCCTGGCAGTCTTTGACCCCCTCCAAGATGATGGCTCACCCACAGGCTGTCAGGCCCTGGCCAGAGATTCTAGCTCAAGCAGGTGGTCTCAGCAGGGCCCTCGGGCCTCAGGGCTGCCCTGTGGATCCCAACACCTCTTCCCTAATAGGTGCTGCTTTGCATAATGCTTTGCACAATGCTTTGCACATAATTTGCATATCATCCACACATCATCCCAAACCCTCCCAGTCCCCTGTTGCTTACCCTCCCTGTCTTCCCCTCGGTGCCCCACCCCCTGTGCCCTCCCACTAGTGTTCTCACTTCAACCTCCCTAGACCACCCCCGCAAGCTTTGACTTCTCTCTCTGGTCTTTCGCCGTCTGGGATCTCTAAGTCAGTCTGAACCAACTCCAAGTTCAGTTCGCATAGCCTGCATCTGTTGGGTGGTCCTGGAGACATGATGGAGGAGGGAGCCCTGTCATCCCAGCCCCCTCCAGAGGGCGGTCCCCCAGGCCCACCCCACCCTGGCCAGCCAGGCCCTGGCTGTGGACGCTTGCTTTATTTCCAAACAGGTTCGGAAATGAAGTCGGGAGCCGGGCTGGAAGCAGGTACGAAGGAGACACAAGAACTCCCCGGGGTTGGGGGAAGGGACCTCTGGGCTAGTGGGGGAGGGAACCCAAAAGGGGGTAGGGAGGCCTGTGCAGGCCGATAACTTCTCTGCCCTCCCCCTATCTCGAGAGTTTAGTGCAGTCAGAGCAGCAGGGAGAGGAGTTCCCAGCCAGCGTGGGTCTGGGGACCCCAGAGACCTGTCTCCTGTGTCGCTGCCGCCAGAGCCCACAGGCTCCTTGCAGCCCAGGACACTGGCTCCTGCCCCTCCTGCTCCGTTCTTCCCTTCCCTTCCCTTCGGAAGCCCTGGCTCCTCCCCTCTGGGGTCAGGTTGCCTGGCCTGGCCTCCCTCCATTTCCAGGCTCTCCCTACTCTCCCTGCTTCTCAACATCACCACCAGCTTGGCATCACTTCCCAGGACGCCAGGGCCTCCCAGCCCCTGCTGTGGCCGGCATAACCCACGCTAATTCACGCTTTCTCTCTCGCTGCATCCTCCCCCACTCCTGCTGCTCCCCATGGAACTGTCATCTCATCAGCAGGCCAAGGCTGCTGGGCAGTGCCTCCCTGCACAGGCACCTGGCAGCAAAGTGGTCATCAGGCCCCCTGGGTTGAGTTGCTCTGTCTTGGGACCCTACAGGAGATGATTGCCCCCATCCTCCAAGCAGAAACCCAGAAAAGAGAATCAGGACATTGCAATCCAGACTCCACAGGGCTGACAAAGGCCGTGCCGAAGATGTGGGGTCCTCTGCCCTAGCTCTCCCACCACACTGGCCAGGAAGGAGCTGGGGCCAGCCGGTCAGCTCCTTCAACAAGCTCCTGGTGGAGCCCACACGGCCCCTCCCCTCAGGGGCGGACATGCCCCTCTAAGAGCACCAATCCGGGTACAGGCAAGGTTACAGAGGCAACACAGTTGTCAACCTCCAGCTGTTTTCTCACTGAGGCCCCTCAGAGCCCCTCCTGGTGCTAGGGGTGGTGTCTCCTTCCCATCTCCCTCTCACGTGCATCTGTTCACGCTCATCTGGAGCTCCTGACACTTTCCTTTGTGCCTGAGACTCCTCGTCCCCAGTCACCTCCTTGGACGGAGAGGAGGCTGAGCGGGAGGGCAGCGCCTCCCTCCAGTCCCTCTCCAGGGAACGTCCGAGGGCTTCTCAGCCCCGAGAGGTTCAGCCTGCACAGGAGGCCTAGGCCAGACCTCAGGGAGCCAGGCAAGGAGGAGACACGCACAGGCAGGCTGCAGAGGGTCTCCCTGCCCCACGGGTCCCTTGTCCCTCCGCCCCTGCCTGCCTGCTCAGGGAAAGTTCTCCAGACAAGATGCCCCTCCCTCAGCTGTAAACAACTCAAGGAAATGTGGCCTCCCGGGATGCCCGAGTCAGAAGGCACCTTAGATACTACCTCCCTGGTTCTCTACTTTTACATGGTTAGCCTTTGGCTCTGAGCTCAGCTGGGACAAGGCCCAAGTTTTTCCAAGGAAATTTACTAGGAATCTGAGGAGGAACTAAATCAAACCCAAATTAATAAAATTCAAAAGCATAGACCCAATGAGCTTCCAAAACAGTTTTCCTCTCTTAATGGAATTAAAGCCTGGAGACAGATCATCTAACTGCGAAAGAGAGCCTCCCAGGCTGACTGAGGTCAAGTCCCCTTTCTCACTCCTGACTGTGGAGACCAACCCAACACTCCCATTTTCATTCCTGAGTGTTTGCTGCACCCGCCTTCTCCTCGTCCCCTCCCCTGCCACTCCTGCAGTGATCTGGCCACCAGTAGGCAGGTGACGAAAGAGCTAGTGTGCAGGTCCTGGGGTGGGAGGACTATCCTAGCACAACCACCAACACTGCCAACCAACAGGCACCTGCTCGTTCCAGGAGGGGGTACCCAGCACCTCTGCCCAGCAGCACCTCCAGGGCCAGGGATTGAGATTCTCTTCCTCTCCTTAAAGAAAACAACAACAGGAGAGGCTAACCCACAGCCCAGGACAAATACCTAGACGGCCCCCAGTCATCCACACTGATGAATGTGGGGTGGCGGGGAGGGAGGGAGCTCCGTCTCTAAAAGGCACTCTCCTCTCCGTTAAGGTTTTCATCTGCTACAGTCCTCCTTCCCACAGAGAACCAGGGGTACAAGCTTGAATGGGGCTGGGTGCCAGGCTGTTCTAAGGCCTCCACCTGCACTCACTCATCTAAACCCCATTATACCCCCTGAGGTAGGCACTATAATTATCCCATTTTACAGATAAAAGAGGTAAAGTAAGTTGCACAGAAGAAGTGATGGAGTCTGGGCTGCACAGAGCATGTAAGATTTGGAGGATGCTACGTGACACAGTGGATGGAGCTGAGCAGGATATGGGGGACATATAAGAGGAGACCTGGATTTGTCCCAACTGTACTGCAGCTGTGTGTCCTTGACCAAGTCACTTGACTTCTCTGGGCCTCAGTGTTTCCATCTATAAATGGGAGGCTTGGACTCAGTGGGCCCTCAGGTCTCCCTGCCCTGCATTCTCTAGTTCTATTCCCAATGGGCTATTCAGGGCCCCAAATCATATGCTCAGGCCCTATATGCAGCCACAGATGGGCCAGGGCTGTCTGGCAGAGTGCCCCCCCATCACCCTCCCCATCCCCAATTCTCCTGGGCTAGGACAGGAGACAAACTGGAAAACTCAGCAGGGAGTGGACGTTTGCCTAGCTGGAGTTCTGGGCCTCTCTCGGGGAGGGTGCCAGGATGCTCAGAGAACTGGCCTAGGAGGGGAAGGAGCAGGACTGGGGGAGTCAAGGAAAAGGGGCATTTCTCCTTAAAGAGGTGGGCTGTGACTCTGCTCCCCTGACCCCTAAGACCAGGGTCTCTGGGGACTACTACCCCTGATGTCCAGCAGGCCCCTCAGGAAAAGCTGCCTCAGACCTGAGAACCTCTCTGAAGGCTGATTGTCCATGTCCATCCTCTCTGCACCTGGGAAAGGGCAGATAAGGGAGGCACAAACCCAACAAACAAGGGAAGTGACCATAGTCATTTTTCAAAGAAAAGCCAGGACTTATGACTCTCTAGCCACTGCATGATAGAATATCCTGGTTTAATACCAAAGAGAGCTAAGCTGTGCCCAGCCTCGCCTGTCATCTCTGCGTCCCTCTCCCCTGGCCCTCCCCTCCCTGTGTCTGCTTGCCCTCCCTGCCCTCCACCACTGCTGTTCCTACCCTCTCCTCCACGCGTGTCCCTCTTGAGCTGACCCCTGCTGGACTCTGCCAGTGCCTGCCCAGACCCCGAGGTGTTCCCCAGGAGGCCCGTGTGCAGTAGTCTGGCCCCAGCTTGGCAGCAGCTGCACCTGAGGGAACCAGGGGAGGTCCTGGGGGGACAGCAGGCTGCCCCGGGTCCCTCATCAGCTGTGTCTGCTTCTCTCCCACAGAGTCTGTGCCGATGGCCGTCATCATCGGGGTGGCCGTAGGAGCTGGTGTGGCCTTCCTCGTCCTTATGGCAACCATTGTGGCCTTCTGCTGTGCCCGCTCCCAGAGAAGTACGGGAGGGAGACCCGGGATCTCAGGGAGGGGGACAGAGAAAAAGGCCAGGCTTAGACTGCCCCGGAGAGCAAGTAAGCAGGAGTGCAATGAGAGGGGGCCTCAGGGTGCTGTGAGCTGCTGGGGCAGCGAAGGGTCTGATGCATCTGTTATGTGCACTGCTTCGTGTGGCATCCGGCCCATAGTGGGCACTCAACCCATGTTGAACTGCACTAAACTGAACTTCACCCAACAGGGCAGTCAGCCAGCACTTGAGACTGGACACACACAGCACTCTCGATGGGAACTATACAGAAACCTGGGGTGGGGTTGGGGGGGAAGAGGTAGTTTGATCCTTGTCCTCCAAGATCTGCTAGTCTAATCAGAAAAGCAGGTCACCCACACGTGGGGGAAAACACAAAGCATTCAAGGAATCACTTTGTGCAAACTTTTAAAGGTCTTTAGTCATTAGCATTCTGGTGTTCGTGTGCTAGTGAAGAATTCCGTGTGCCTGGAGTTTCCATCCGGGGCAGGGCTCTGATACCATGTGTGATAGACAGACGCATAGAAGTGTAAAATGGGATGGCAGAGTGGAGGTGAAAACAATGGAGACAGTCTTCTAATCCCACCTCTTACTATCATGGGAGCTTGGGCAAGCCACTCTATTCCAGGCCTCAGCTTCCTCATCTATAATAGTGAGGGGTTGGATGAGGTGACTTTCATGACCCCACTGGCTCCAACATTCTATCAGTATGAGTCACAAGATGAATAATCAGGGTAAGCCTGCTCCCTCTGCTGCTTGGCAGGCAGCCTTCCTGTACTGGAAGAAAACTGGGTGTTCTCCTTACATTTTCTCCACTCCAAGCTAAGCAGCCTTGGCTCTCCTGACTGCTCCCAGTGATGTGGTCTCAGGACTTCCCTCACTACCCTCTCAGTGGAAATTATAGGAAAGCATATTTAGGCAAGAATTTTCTAACAGAGCTCTCCAACTATAAATCGGCTGTCTCCTCTAGAAATCGTAAAGGCTCCCTCATGGAAGCATTGATACAGAAGCTGGACCACCACGTGTCAGGGATGTTTCTGCTTTGGGTGGGAGGCTGACCATCAAGGTCCTTTCTGACAGTAAGATTTGTGATTCTCTGAATGGAGAGATCAGAGCCTGGTAGAGTAGGTCAGAGAAGACTTCTAGAAGGAGGTGGGAATTCAGTAGGATAAAAAGGACCTAGCTCTGTAAGGTGGACGAATGGATGAGGACAGCCTCTCACGCCATGGGAGCAGCAGTGAAAGGCTGAGGTGCATGCAGCCAGGAGCCTATAGTGAAAGAGCTCTGAGGCCCCAACAGCCCACAGCACATCCAGACAGGTGTTCTCTTGGCGGGGGGCTAGGAAGCTGCTGAGGTCAGGGACTGGAGGGTAAATTTGGGGGTTTCTGGGGCTTGACATCTCAGGCCCTAATGCCTAAGGATGAGAACTGAATCCGTTATCCACACTTCCCTATTTTATGCCCAGATCTCAAAGGTGTCGTGTCAGCCAAGAATGATATCCGAGTGGAGATTGTCCACAAAGAGCCTGCCTCTGGTCGGGAGACGGAGGAACACCCCACCATCAAGCAGCTGATGGTGAGAGTGCCATCTTATCCCCACCCCACCTCGACCTCTGTGCCCTGAAGATCCTGGGACTGGAGGTTTCTTGATGCCCTAGATGCTCCCGAGAAGCAGAGCTTTAGTCAAGATGCACCCTCCCCGCATAATAGGCCAGGCACCTACTCTCAGCCAACAAGGAGTTATTGTGTGTCTACTGTATTGTACTTTAGTGTTCTAGGAGACTTAAAGACACCCAAGATGCAGTCTCAGCTCTCAAGGAGCCTGACTATTCAGCAAGAAGAGAAGACACACACATAAATTGCCATAATATGTTCCTATGTAATACATAATTCTATACACAGACACACATAGATATTATAGATATTCAGTACATGCCCTGCCCAACCCCACCCCCAAAAACAGTCTGCAAAAAGCATGGGTTCCTCTTCGGGAACTGGATCGCTTACCAGAAGCAAACTCATAACTTCTCCGGCAGCCCCACCCTGCCCCTCTTCTTCCTGATCCACGTTGATGGAACAGAATGCACCCAGCTGTCCAAGCATAAACCAGGAACACTGTGCTAGAAAATTCTAGTGCATATTATGTTATGGTTGTAATATGTCGGAGAAGCAGCAGAAGCAAGGGGTAATGAGCATGGGGGTCTCTGTGCCTCAGTCTCCTCATCTCTGAAATGGAGATGAAACTAAGAGTACACAGGACATGGGGGGCTAAATGGGTAACCCCTAAACACAGTAAGTGCTCAAAAAAGGTTAGCCGTTTGTGTTGCTCTGCAATCACCTGTTTCCTGCTCTGTCTCCACTAGATGGTGAGCAAGCTGCCTCATCCATCCCTGTGTCTCCTGGCCTTTCACAGGCCCTGGTGGACGCTCACCAGTGTTTATTGAACTGAACTGATGTTTCCTCTGCTGCTCTTTTCTATCCAACTGATTTTCAGGTCCTGTCAATTCCACTTTAACAAATTTTTCAAATTTGTGCTCTTGCCTCTACTCCACTGCTATGCCTTAGTTTGGGCCTCTTCCTGGCTGCCCTGGACTATTACAGCAGCCTCTAAGTGGTCTCGCCATTCTAGTCTTTGACCACTTCACTCAGTCCACCCTCCAGAGTTCCACAAAAAGGGTCCTTCTAAAATGCAAATCTGATCCTGTTCTGTCCTACTTAAAATCCCTCGGGGCTCCCATGTCTACTAGATAAAGTCCAAGTGCTTAGCATGTCATCAAGGCCCTTCATTGAGAGGTGGCTGCCCGCCTTTCTAGCTCCATCTTCCTGCCAAACGCATCTAGCCCTCCAGACACGCCAAAGAGTTTGCAATTCCCTGTCATCTAGCCTTTATACCTCGGAGGCTTTGCACAGGCTGTTCCCTCTGCCTGTTGATTTTGGCAGTAATTTCACCTTCTCCTATGAGAATCAGCTCAAATGTCACCTTCTCCATGACTTTCCATGCTTGTTGCCCCACTGCTGGCAGAGCATGCACTTTCTGCTCTCCCAAACCCTTTGCATGCTCCTCTTTTATAGTGCATTGCTCTAATTACATGTCAGCCTGCCCAGTTAGCCCAGAGTGCCTCAAGGGCAAAGGTCATGTTCTTGAGTCTACACATGTCTACTGCCCCGGGCCTAATATAGTGCCTGACACAGAAGAGCATTTGATCTTACAAAGGAGGAGACCACAGCCTAGACCTGAGAAGGAATGGACGTCTCTGTAGTTGAGCTTTATCAAATGTGGTGAAGAAGCACCAGACCGGTCCTTCGTCCCACATGAGACCTTGAATTCCCTCCCACTGGAATGTTCTGAGTGCCTCAGACTGTTTCCAAACCCCCAATCCAAACCCTCAGGAAAGGGGGGAGGTCGCTCAGTACTCAGCTAAGAACGGTGGGCGGAACACAGCTCCAGCAGAGGGACCTGCTGAGGACTCTGTGGCCAAGCCTCCGCTTGGGGAGGTCTCATTCCCCTACTCCCTTCACCCCCTGACCCCTATACGGCCCCCACATCGACGAGAGGCAGGCTTAGAAGTTGACTGATGGAAAAGAAGAACTCCCATCCAGATAGAGCCAGAGCATTTACTGGAAAATGAAACAGAGCAGCATCAGTGAGGAGGTAACAGTGTGGAAGCACTTTGGCTGATTCCCCGGGGGCTCCAAAAACAGACCAGGCAAGTGAGTCACAGGGAGAAGAAACATCCCAGCTCAGAGGGTGGGTGGGAACGTGGCCTCCATCGTGTCACGTGCAGAAGTGATACACGGGAAGCATCCGACATGCCACAGGACGCGCATCACTGTGGTTATTCAGATTAACATACCCTCTGTGTGCTGAGCATGCTTTATTTTTCACCTTCAGTCCAATTACGATTTTAATTTTCAGTAATTCAGAGCTCTACCACTTGATTCATTCATCCAATATAAACACAACATTTGCGACAGCCCTACTGTATATCAGGGTCAGAGCTGGGCACTGGCGAATCAAAGAATAATAAATACAAATATGATTCCATTCCAGAAGCATTTTGGTCAATGACCACAAGACACAAGGCACAGTTCCAAGGCACTGAAAGAGAAATAAGCAGTGATCCTTGCCCTCGGGCCTTTTGGCCTCTGTTGAGGAAGATAACTTTTAGTACATCTAAGTCATTGCTGTGAATAACAGGTGTGGCCCACGTTGCCATCATCTCACGGGTAGTTATTCTTTGTGATTCCTTCCTAAGGCCCGGTTAAGCCTAGCACTGGGGGATGAACTGCCCCGCTGGGGCCCCAACCTGTGCCCCATGGTGGAGGTGTTGTAGTTATTTATCTACAGGTCCCGCTCCTTATGAGCACAGCTGTGTCTTAATCTGTGCATGCCTGGCCCTTAGCACAGTGATGGGCCTGAAATTCAGTAAATGCTCAGTGAATTGAATTGAATCAGCCAGGTGAGATCTCTGGAGGTGACACCCTAGCCCAAGGGAAGAAGGTATGGTCTTAGAGACCTGCCCTAGGGGTCCAGGAACGACAAGATCTGGAATCTCCTCCTGACTCCTTCACCTGCCTCCCCTGGGCCAGGAATGAGAGGTGGGAGGAGGGGAGGCAGAGATGGCAAGCCTCTTTTGAACTCATTTCACCATCTTTTCCTTGGGGAAATGGACATTTAGCCCACCTCCTATCCACTGAGCAGCCATTTTTGGGTTGCAGATGGACCGGGGTGAATTCCAACAAGACTCAGTACTGAAGCAGCTGGAGGTCCTCAAAGAAGAAGAGAAGGAGTTTCAGAACCTGAAGGTAAGAATAGCCGCAGGTTATAAGACACAGCCTGGAATCCAGTCTTCAGCTCTGATGGCCCACGCTTCAGATCCAGACAAACGATGGCAGCAAGCAAAAGAGAAAGGCCAGAGGTCACCATGGGGACAGGCGCCTATCCTCCCCCTAAGGTGGGACACTCCCCTGCTGAAGGCACCTGCCCTCTCCCTCCCACACTAAGGAGGTGAGAGAGTTAAGGTGAAGGACCCACAGGTCTCCCCTCCTACAGCCTCCTCAGAAATAAATTTTAAAATTAAGTATACGTGTTCTGGACAAAAACAAAAAACAATTCAAGTCTGGCTCTCAAATGACTTTGCATTGCCCTGACATAAAGACACACACCCAGTCAAGAGCCCCCTGCTTCCCTCCCTTTAGCACCTGTTCACCTTGCTGCCACGTGAACACCTGCCAGCCCTCTCTTCCCAGTGTCCCCACCAGGCTAATTCTTCCAGCCCTGCCCCATTCCTCCCCAGCTGCCCCCTTCCTCCTGTCTGTCCTCATCCCTTCCTGTGTAAGGCAGGACTGGTTCAGCCTAGAAAGCCCCAGCCACGTTCAGAGCAAGCTCGGTGATGCGGCTCTTACTCTTGCCCCCAGGACCCCACCAATGGCTACTACAGCGTCAACACCTTCAAAGAGCACCACTCGACCCCCACCATCTCGCTCTCCAGCTGTCAGCCAGACCTGCGTCCTGCAGGCAAGCAGCGAGTGCCCACGGGCATGTCCTTCACCAACATCTACAGCACCCTGAGTGGCCAGGGCCGCCTCTACGACTACGGGCAGAGGTTCGTGCTGGGCATGGGCAGCTCATCCATAGAGCTCTGCGAGCGGGAGTTCCAGAGAGGCTCCCTCAGCGACAGCAGCTCCTTCCTGGACACGCAGTGTGACAGCAGCGTCAGCAGCAGCGGCAAGCAGGATGGCTACGTGCAGTTCGACAAGGCCAGCAAGGCCTCTGCCTCCTCTTCCCACCACTCCCAGTCCTCTTCGCAGAACTCTGACCCCAGCCGACCCCTGCAGCGGCGGATGCAGACTCACGTCTGAGGATCCCAAACGGGGGGGGGGGGGGTGGTTGCTGGAGAAAGGCACCTTTTGGCTCTCCAGAGACTATGGGGACTTTGCAGAGGACCCCAGACCCGGCCGCCTCCAGGACAGCCCCCGAGTGCCTCTGCCACCACCCTCCTCCGAAGCTCTGATCAAGCACAAACCTGGGTCCCCAGCTGCTGTGTCAAGAGGAATGTGGGTGGGGAAGTGGTCAGAGGATGCAACTGAGTGCACTGTGCTCAGCGCTGGACTTCCTGGTCCTCAGCCTTTTCCTGGAGGCCCCTCCACTACCTGCTCCTCCCACAGGCGCTAGAGGCAGCTATCACTTTGCTTTAATGAGACTGCCATCCACTCTTCGGTCTCCCCGTGAGCTCTACCGCTTGCTGCCCTTAAGCCCTACCCCTGTGCCTGTGCTCCCATACATCCCTGGGGAGAAGGGGGGGAAGTGCCCCAGAGACCCCAGTGCCCCCTGCTGCTCAGAGCCCAGGCCCTGGAGGCAGAGAAGCCAGAAATGGCCCTGGCCAAAGGAGTGTCCCTCCCCAACGCTGGCCGCTGGCCGGGACCCAGCCCCTAATTTGTTTGGTGTTTCGTGTCCATACTCTTGCCGTTCTGTCCTTGGACTGGATCCCACTGAACTTTGAGGTGGGATTGGCCCAATCAATGACTGGTGTACTGGGAGGGAGGGAGCGGAAGGAGGAAAGGTGTGAGCATTTGGAGAACCCCTCACCCTCACCAGGCTGTGCGATTCAGAGCCTCCCCCACCCCCTGCTTCGTGTCCCTCCCTCCTTCCCTACAGCACAATCGGAGTAAATATAAGGAGTGTGAGAGCTTCTCTGGGCAGAGTTCTTTAAACCGTCATGGAGAGGGTGTTTCCTAAGAGCTTGAGGGGACTAGAGGTCAGGTCTTTAAGATGATGAACCTCCAGGGGCCTTGAGTCAAACAAGGAAAAATGGTCCTGTCTTCAGGAAGACTCCTTGGGCAAGACAGAAAGTGTACCTACACCTCACCCCTCCTACTCACCACCTGAGAATGGGCAACACAGAAAGTGTACCTACACCTCACCCCTCCTACTCACCACCTGAGAATAAACGTTAGGGCCGTTACTTCACAAATCCCTCCTGTCCTTTTGTTTCTGCAGAGCCACGGGAAGAACCCAAGAGCCCAGAGTATGCTTTGGGAACCCAAGCTTCTTTGTCCGTCTTTATTCAATTCTCCTAGATAATGAAGGCAGTTGGTAGCTCTGGTTGTGGTGGCGACAGCACCTACAGACAGACGCCTCTCCTTACGGATGTGCAAACCTAGAGGGCGTGCAAAAGCAGGATTCGCCAACCAACCGATTCATGCAAAATACAGCTCAGAGGCAAAGTGGTCATACAGCACATTGCAGGGGTCATTGCAGGCCTTTCTCTCAGCAATACTCTGCAAGGGACGCTCCCTCCATTAGGGCTTCAGGGAAGGAGGCCCTCTTCAAAGAGCCTATGCCACCAGGCACCCTAACACTCTGAGACTCAAATAGTGTTCTAAGAATGGCCTTGTTTGAGTGGGAAGCTTGATGGAGTGATGGCAGATCAGATGGGACGAATAAACAGGGGCAAGTTAGAATGCCAGTTCTAGCTGGCAGGATTCAAATGGAACTTTGGAGAACTCAAATTGCCCCTAAGGCTGGAGGTTCCTCCTAAGTTTTAGGCCCTTCTCCAACCTTCCCTACTAGTCCTACCCATCATGGGAACCTTCATCTCAAAAGTCTGTGCTTCTTTCCATACATTGATTCCTTGGATGGCCCCAACTATGGATTCTGTACATGGCCTTCATAGCACCTCCACCTAGGGCAGTGTTTCTGCCTCCACCAGATGTCCTATTGCTTCAAAACTTCCTAGTTCCCTAGATATCCTCCTTTGCAGCCCCCATGCCTGAGGGAGTAGAAGCTAATAAGAAATGTAAGTGTACATCCCAGTCCCACATCCTGCTCCTGGTACTATTCTGGCCCAGCACAGATGCCAGGGTATTGGCCCCTGTGCACTCTAGGTTAATCTTGACAAGCCTTCTTCCTTCCCATATTAGTTTTGCCTTTGCCAGTAGGGAACAAGGATACAAAAGAGATGCAAAATGCCTTGGTGTGCCAGAGTAAGAAAGAGGATGACTTAAGAGGATTTGTCCATTCATTTCTCCCGGTCTTCCCCACCATGCCAGTTGGGGGAGATTCACCTCCTAATCCTCACTACAGCCTACCTTGCCCCTTGGCCCCTGCCCCCCCCTCCACATACACAGCTCTCATAATAGGGTGGAGGTGTCCATCCTTTCTTGGAACCCAAGGTTATGACACAGAACAACTAGAAGAACAGGGAAGAAATCTGCTCTCCTGTAGTGCAGAATGAGCTCTTCTCCCTCCCGAGCTTTAGGCCCTCCCAGGGGAAGAATGTGGACTATCACAGAAGATTAGCAGAGAGTACAGGGCTGCACAGTTCAGACAAGATATACAGTGCCCAACCCCTGAGCTCTCTCCAAGGCACAGATATAGCAAAGAATTGCCGAAGAGACAAGAGGTCACAGGTGAGGCCCTGGAGAAAGACAAGAAGGTGGAGGGGAAAATCAGTAGCATCTGGGGGCTTCTGGAACGTTGTACACTGAGAAGGAGCCTAGACGGAACTATGTGCACCCCTCAGTGTCTCCAGCCCTATTTACTTCTCACAAAGGAGTAAGGGTGGGAAAGAGCTGGTAAAGGGAGATGTGAAAAAAAATTTAAGGCAGTGAGGAGACTTGACTTCCACTGTAGATGATTTAAATTAACTGAAATGAATGCTTTACATTTGTAATCTTATTTAATCCTCCCAATTCTACAAAGTATCACCATTTTATAATTTTATTTATTTATTTTTCCCCTAAAGCCCCAGTAGATAGTTGTATGTCATAGTTGCACATCCTTCTAGTTGCTGTATGTGGGACGTGGCCTCAGCATGGCCGGAGAAGCAGTGTGTCTGTGCGCGCCGGGGATCGGAACCAGGGCCGCCTGCATCGGAGCGCACGCACTTAACCGCTAAGCCACGGGGCTGGCCTAGTATCACCATTTTATAGACAAGGGAATGAGGCTTAAAGAAGCCAAAAGAGTGGCCCAAGGTCACAGAGCTAACAAGTGGCAAACTTGACATTTAAACACACATGATTTCCTCTGTAAAATGTTTCCAGCCTACAGTGCAAACTCAAGGCCACTTTCATCCTAGAATATGACGAAAACGGCCGATGGTAAAGGCTGTCTCCTAGCACCCACTCCGGGGCAGGCCAAGCAAGGACAGGCCACAGCTCCATTAGGAAGGCGGGACTGGCATCCTCCAACTCAAGTCCCCAGATGACCTGGAAAGACCACAACTTGCTGGGAAACAAAGCTATTCTGTGTATCAAATCACCCCTACCCCTACCAAGGCCAGTATCCAGTTTTCTGACAGCTTTAAAATCCATCATTGGCTCCGACTCGCTGGATGGGAGCCCAGTTTCCAGTTCTCAGGCTCGCTATCAGTCTGGAAAGGCCAAGGTTATCTCCACCACTTCTTCAACTTTCATGGACTAGGATGTGCTCCCACAGGAAGAGCTAGAATACCACACGAAATCCGTTCCTGATGGAGCCTACTGAAACAAGTGCTATACAGTCGTAGGCCTTGAAGCTGTCTTTGAGCTTCTGGAGTGGAAAGGACCTGGGGAAATAGAAACAACCATGATGCAGCCCTTGGGAGATTTCTCAGAACAGGAGAAAAAGAACCAACAAGAATTCCACTTCTCACTTCCTGTGTGGGGAGGCATATACACCGTGTAGGGTGTTTCCTATTATGGAATCAGAATTGAAATCGCAGGGAACACACTCCACAAGGTCAATGAGCTCTTCCCAGGTGTCGTGTGTGGTTGATAATGGCACCAGAAAAAAAGATGGAAGGGAGTCCTGCAATTAGTTTCTTCTCTAGGAAGTTTCCCTATAAAATAAACTCTTTATTAAAATAAAAGTATAAATATTTAAATAAAAACTATCTTAATTTGCATATAGATTATTATCGAAAATACCACTTGGAGTGCCTAAAGATACATAAACATTTAGACATAAACCAATGACATCTCAACTAAATCTTGAATTTTACTTCCCCTTTAAGAAAGTCTTAGTGGGCCGGCCCCGTGGCTTAGCAGTTAAGTGCTCACGCTCCGCTGCTGGCAGCCTGGGTTCGGATCCCTGGCGCACACCCACGCATCGCTTCTCCGGCCATGCTGAGGCGGTGTCCCACATACAGCAACTAGAAGGATGTGCAACTATGACATACAACTATCTACTGGGGCTTTGGGGGAAAATAAATAAATAAAATTATAAAAAAAAAAGAAAGTCTTTTAGAAGCCTCCTACTAAGTTATTTTTAGAAGATGTAACCACATACCAGCCATTTGCAGCTTCAGCATCAAAACTACCAGCAATCTTTGAGAATCTCTGATAAAGAGCGCTCACTCTGATAGTTACTCCTCATTTCCCGTAAGACTCCCATCATCTTTTCCCCAGCCCCCCATGTTTCAATCTTCCTAATTAGGTCATAAACTGGAAAAAATGAGAAAATTTCAAGCTACCCTCCTTGCTAAAAATGAGGATTTCTTTTCCTGAATGAATACATTTTTGTTGCAAGGAGAGGAGGACCAGCCATTCTTTCCCCCTCTAGTCTTCCTGTGTCCATCTCCTGTCCTCTCTGCCGGCTAGGTCTTTGACACACACCGAAAACTTTCATTACTGGGCCGGCCCCGTGGCTTAGCGGTTAAGTGTGTGCGCTCCACTACTGGCAGCCCGGGTTCAGATCCCTGGCGTGCACAGACGCACCGCTTCTCTGGCCATGCTGAGGCCGCGTCCCACATACAGCAACTAGAAGGATGTGCAGCTATGACATACAACTATCTACTGGGGCTTTGGGGCGGGGGGGGGACTTTCATTACTACAGGCCCTGTAGGTTTACTCCTCCCACAGCCCTCATCTTTAGAAGGCCTTTTGTGAACACACATCATTCACAAGACGCATCACTGAATTGTGGTCTACACCCCTCGCACCAATACCCACCTGCCACTCCACATTCCCAAGGCTCCTCCCTGGGGCAGTCCACTCAGCCCACCCACAGGGCTGGGATAGCCTCAACCCCTGGACCTAAAGCTTGCCTTGAGCTCGCTGATCAGCGGGGCCCAGCCACGCAGAGGCATCTTCTTCCGCTGCTTCTTCAACTCATGGCGCTTGGAAATATCTTGGAATGCTATGAGAACATTCAAACAATGCTCCTTTATAGCTGTCTTCTTTGTGATGAATCTAAAGTATTAATGCTCAAACATAAGGTAAGTGAAGCCTCAGGAAACAGGTCTTTGGAAGAACTGGGGTCTTCCTACGCAGAGCTTTTCTGAAATCTTTTCCCAATTATGCAAGAGGAAAAGTGCTACTCAGGATAGAAGTTGAATATAGGATTCATCCCCCTGAAGGTCACCCTCACTTAGGCAAAAGCATGTTCAGGTGGACCAAGTTAAAGATACCACCTTCACCACCTTTGTAAGGAAATTATCGAGCCAGGGCCTTGCTGCCCAAGGACTAGAAAACATATTCGTGACACTAACGGGCATTGCACTTGGAAGAAATACTGAATGAAGAAGGCAGCAGAGATCAAGTGATCGAGACAAGGATTCAGGACTTCTACAGCAGAATTTTCTGTTAAGAACCTCCTACCTGACTTTTAAAAGTTTCTCTAGCTCTCCTGCCAGGCAGGGCTGCACCCATGCAACAGAAATCTAGAGAAAACAAGCACAGAACTCGAGAGAATCTCCCTATCAGACTCTAACTTGTACTCTTGTCATTTTTTTCCTCTGGAGAGAAGCACATTTTTAAGCAAGTGAAGAGACTCCTAAAGTGTTAAAGTTGGTGATCTATGTAAATAGTGTTTTAGGAAGCCTCAGAACAATAGACGGTTCTGGAATAGCTTAGTTCAACTAAGTAACTGCAACTTAGATCCCCTGGGGTGATTTCAACATCTGAGCCTTCTCTCATTCCCTCCACTCAACTCGACCCTCCCAGTCTTGGAAGATTCTTGAGAGGAAGCTGTGCCTCTGTTGAGGGGTGGGTATACTCTAAATTGTTGGTTTTCCCTGGGGACCCGAAATCTGCCTTCAAAAATTCATCTTTCCCTAAAAACTTCTGTCAGGTCCTCTGTGCTGACCCTCCTAGACAGGGCTGTGGTCTCTCCCACCTGCTCCCAGCTCCCTGCAATCCCTTTACGTGAATAGGGGGAGCCTTCCAACACATTTGGGCTCCCCCCAAATCTGACATCTAATGAGACTGGAGGTTCATCTCCCCACCTCATTTCTCTGCCATAGGATCCCCAAGATCCCTGAGAGAGGTAAACTCATTGAGAAAGAACTAGACAGGAAAACAGGCTATAACCACCCCCCATGCGCCCCATACCCCTCCTTGAACTTTTCAGTTGGAAAGAAGATTTCCTGGAACGACGTCTAGTACAGAACCATGGGAATGCCCAAAACTAACAAATAGTTTTCTGAAGCTATAATTAAGACAATAAAATAGGTCAGAGAGTTTAGAGGAAAGCTTACCAACCCCGAGGTTGTACTTCTCAACCTGTGGTATGCTGCATGACATCAAAATGGCTAATGTCACCCCAGACACCACTTTCTCCAAAAACCCCTGAAGGCCTCTGACTTCAACTTGAAAACCACTGCCAGAAAGCAATTTGAACTCACTGTTCATTGTTTGATCATGCAAAGCTCGCATTTGAGTCATTTCCCTGATGTCTTTCTTACCTTCCCCTACTTAGCTTGTGGGTGATTTGAAGACAAAGACTTTTCTGTAACCAGCTATGTTACTCAGTACCTGGGTAAGTATCTGGCCCTCCAGATGTACCTCACCTGTTTCATATGCTTTCCGGTATTTTCCATTATGCAAGGCAGTTTTCCAATCTAATACTTACATCATACTTTACAGTCTACACAATGTTTTCACAATCATATTCCCATTAGAACCTCACTGTGAGATAGGCATGCATTATTACTATTTTACAGACGGAGGAGCACAGGTTAACTCCGCTATTTACGTAACAGAGCAAGGAGCAGAACCCACGATCCAACCATCAGTCTTTTGTGCCCACTACACCTTGCTGCCCTCCAGACGGCACCGCTTCCAAGCTCAAACTTTTCGTAGGCTAGTCCGTCTCTGACGAAGGCAACTGGATGTACTTATGTCCTCGGAAACTGTAAATAAAAACCCGAAGTGTCCAAAATGAAGGCACACCATGTGATATGAATATAGAATATCATTTAAATGTGTTTCTGGGCTAGATAAAAGACCTCAACTCTGTCTTGCCCAGCTAGGTGGTCAAGCTTCCCCCTTCACTTCTCCGGGCCAGTTTCCCCTCTGTAGAGGAGGGCTGGATTTCCAGAGTCTACATTTGATAGAGCAGATCTCGTGTGCTCCCTTGCAGTAGAAGTCTTTCACCCCAGCCTCTGCGGCGAAGTCAATGTCGGTCACGTGGAGGAGGCGCAGAGGGCGTTCACGAGCCCTGGCACACACACACACACCCCCCCCCACACACACACACACACCGGCTGAGAGCACCCGGGCGGCGTGCAAACCCGAGCAGAGCGGCGCAGAGGCCGCAGCCCACCCCGGCATCCCTCCGCAGCCGTCGCCAGGCCCTCAGCCGGTTGCCAGGGAGGCGCCGGCCTCGGACGAGGCGGGGCAGCGGGGTCAGCGCCCTGAGAGGCCTCCGGGCGGACTGCAGGAGGGCGCCGCCCCGCCGCGGTCG